ATAGAACTGTGGAGGCCAGGCGGCGGCTGAAAAGATAAGAAGTATGAAATATAAATGACCTTTATTTTGAGAATGCGGGGAGAGACACCCCCGGTCCCCTGGGGCGTGGCATCTCCATCCAGGGGTCAGCGATCCGTGGAACTCGTGGAGTGGAGGCACATAAGTAGCCTCGGTTTGCGGTGGAACCTAAGGGGGCATTAGGGATGCACAGGTAGCCCATTGGTCTTTGTTTGGCGCCAGAGGTAAATTCCTAGGGGTGGGGGAGATAGAACTCCTTGGTTCCCTCTGAGGCTTTACCAGCTACAGTATCCTGCTTGGGCCAAACTCTTTCACCAATGATGTTAGTGATGTTAGGGCTTGCATTTCCAGCCCAAGCTTTGCACTACATTGGTACATTTTTCCTACCTATGCTAGTAGCCCCACACTACATATTCTGTTTAAACAATTTAGCAAAAGAGATACAAATAATAAAAAAAAACTGTATTTTCTAACTATGTCTGCTGTTTTCATTCTTTTGTGTAGATTCATCCTTTCCTCCCATGCTCCTCCATACTGTACCCCTCCAAAAAATTTAACTGCATTCCATACAATGTTCCTTCTGCATAAAGGCTTTTGTTTTTACATATGTGTATTATATTTCTGATATGCTGATGATGAATTCTTTCAGTTTTGATATTTAAAGTTTTATTTTACTTCCTGGATATAGAGTTCTAAAGTATAAGTTTGTTTCTTCAATACTTTGAAGATATTGTTCTGGGCCTGGGATATAGCTCAGTGGCACAGCACCTGCCTGACAAGTGCAAGGTCCTGAGTTTGATTTCTGGTGCATCGCTCAAAAAACTACTGTTTATGAAAAAAGAAAAGAAAACTACTGCTCTTCTTTACTTTGTTTCTCTGTAAATAATATGTCCTTTTCCTTTTCAGATTTTTGTCTTTATCTCTGTTTATCATTTTGGTTCTGTTGTTGTGTTTTGAAGTTCACTGTCATGTTTAATCTGGATTGTGGACTTGATTGGCTTGAGAGACACCTAGCAGGTTAGTAGAGCACTTCTGGGTGTGTCTGGGCGGATCGTGGGAGTGTGACCTTTGGAACTGTGTCTGGTTCCTGGCACCTTCCTCTCTGGCAGTTTCCCTGTGTGTGCTTCCATAAAGTAGGCAGCTTGCCTTTACCATGCCCTTCCGCCATGTTTTTGTCTTGGAGCAAGCCAGCCATAGGCGCAAATCTCTTTCACCATGAGCTAAAAATAGAGCAAAAGATTTGAAAAACTTGCAGTTTGGCCAGAAAGGAAATGAGCATAAAGTTAAGGCAAAGAAGGTGTGATTGTTGAAGAGATTGACACCATTAAAAAGAAGTCAAGTAGTCTGCACTTGAGCCAAGATAAACCTTTTCTCCTTTAATGGTAGGTGTCATTTATTTTATCTTGCCAAAAGGGAATGCTAACACAAAAATTTGATACCAGTAGTAGGGCCATTGCAGCGATTATACCTGATCCTGTGGTTTGGAAACCTTCAGAACTGGTTTGTAGGAAGAGTCTGGAAAAGTTTGAAGATGAGTGCTGGACAAACACTTAGATTGTTGCAAGCAGAGATTGAAGGGTACTTTTGGTGGAAGCCAGAAGACTGGAATGCTGACAGGAATGTGGGCAGTAGTGACTGAGATTTCAGAGGGAACTGGACCAGAGGAATGTCCTGTTCCATTCTGGTAAGGAACTTAGCTACATTTTGTCCATGTCTTCAGACTTTTCAGGAGCCTCAGTTTAAATGTCGTAAATTAATTAATCTGGTGACCAGCAATAAGAACTGTGAGCTAAAAGCAGAGCAGAAATACTGGAAAAGTTTATAGTTTTGCCAGAAAACAAGCATGTGTGAAGTTGAGGGAAAGAAGGTGGAACTATCAAAGAAATTAGTGTCATTTAAAAGGAAAACAGGCACTTTTTCACTTGGACAATAAGAAAGATAATGCCAAACATCTCAGGAATCAACTAGATCAATTCCAGGCTCAAGGATAGAAAAGCATGAAGTTGTTTGAAACATTTTACTTTAAGAGAGCCCCAGGTTACCCTGTCACTCTAGGCCACCTCAAGAAGCACTTCCACATGTTCAGCCATCCAGGCACCCAACGGTCATTGCAGCTGTGCTCTAAGGGGGCCTGACTATTGCTCACACTGGCAGCAGACTTTGGTATAGTCTGTGTGATGCTGGTTTCACAGGCATGCAAAATGCAAGAGTCGTGGTGTCACGCAAGCTTCCACCCAGAGTTCAAATGAAGGCCTCGGATGCCAGGCACTAAGGGATAGCATCGAGTTCTCTGCCAGGGGCTCGTGAGTGGGTAATGTGAAGCTGTGAGAGTGAAACCAGAGCTATAATGGAGACTGCAGGAAGTTAGAGAAGCCGGGACACCTGCTGAGGAAGGCTGTAGGCAGTGATGTTAGTCAGCTGGAGAGGAAGGCCATGTAGGCTGCAGCTGGCAGGCTGTGCAAGTCCTTTGGAACTCACATCTCTCTACTGCATGCACTGAATGCTGGCAATGGAGCTGTGGGATTTAATGTCTTCCCTGGTAAGTCTTGCTTTGGTCCTGTTTCTTTGTAATTCACCTATTCGCTTTCAGAATGGGCATGTTTACCTTATGCCATTATATCTTGGGATTATTTAATTTTTTTTTTTTGTCTTTTTCCTTTTTATTGGTACTGGGGATCGAACTCACAACTGCCTGCTTTCAAGGCAGGCGCTTATGCCACTGAGCTAAACCCCCAGCCCCGATTATTTAATTTTTTTAAAAAAAATTTACGGGGATGCATAGCTAAGATTTGCCTTGATTTGCAGAAGAGACTTTGGATTTGGACTTTTGAGCAATTTTGTGTGGAAATTGCTTGTCTCTTGGGGGAGGAATCAGTGTGTTTTCAGTTGGATGCAGCACGATTACATCTTTTAGATGGAAGTATAGCCCTGTTACTGTATTAATTTGGAAACTAAACTTGATCAAACAGATGTGATTAGGTGTCACACTGATAAGGGGTGGACTTGTGATGGTTTTCTTAATTGTCAACTTGATTGACACGTGAGATGCCTAGGAGAACACACTTCTGGGTGTGTGTGTGTGTGTGCCTCGTGGTGAGTGCGTCATGACCTTGAGGACCCTATTTGGTCTCTGGCGCCTTTCTCTCTGGCACTTTCCCTGTCTCTACTTCAGGCTGCCATAAGGTTGGCAGCTTTCCTTCATCACATCCTCCCATCATGATGTTTCTGCCCTATATCCAGTTGACTATGGGCTGAAACTTCTGAAGCCAGGTAGAATAAACCTTTCCTCCTTTAGGTTGTGTATGTCAGATATTTCACCCCAGTGATGGAAAATCCAACCAGTATACTCTTTAATTTTGTATCTTCTGCCCATCTAATTGTTTTGCTCTGAAATCTTGTTTGTAATCTAATCTCTAGTATGTTTCTCATCTCAGAAATTGTAATTTTCAACCATAAAAATTAGACTTTAGTCTTTTTTCATATTTCCCATGTCACTAATTAACATGCTGAATGTTTCCTCTTGGTTTTAAACATGTGGAATACAGTAATAATTTTTAATCTGCTAGTTCTTAAAATCTGTATTGATTCTGGGTTGGCTTCAATCGAGTGATTTTATTCTTCATTATGATTTTTTTTCTTATCTCTCTCCAGGTCAGGTCATTTTTTATTTTGTCCCAGGCATTGTGAACTTTCCTTCTTCAGATGATGAATACTTTTGTATTTCAGTAAATATTCTAGGATGCAGTTCAGTTTCATAGAAATGGTTAGATTGTCTCAATTCTAAGATTTGATGAGTAAAACCAGTGAAGCATTTGTTCTAGGGCTACTCTTTCCACTCCTGAGATAGGAATCTTCTGAGGACTCTACCCAAAGCTGTGAATCATGAGACTTTTTTTGCAAGGCCAGTGTGAGCTCAGGCTCACTAATCCCTCCAGGTGGTTCTTTCCCCGTGACAATGAGCCTTCTCATTCAGGCACTGGAAATGTCACAAATGTGCCCCAGTGTGTGGGAAAAGATAGTGATGGCAGCAGGGCCCTCACCGGACTCCCGTGCTGAGTCTCAGTGTGAGATTCTACTCCATCCACTACCCTGTCCACCGCTCCGCGCTTCCCAAGTTCCACATTCAGTGCTTTTCAAAGTATAACACTTGGCATCCTTTTCATACATAATTCTGAGTTTTCTAAGGTACAGATTACTTATACTCTTCTTGTAAACCGGGACTTTTTATTAGTGGAGCTAATAAGTTATCAATAGTTTCTAAGTTTTAATTATTTTGATTTTGTGAGATGTTTTAGTCAGTAGCTTTTTCCCCATGCCTCAGACATTTGTGTGGACTCTTGAAGAACTGCCTAAGCCCAAGCTGCGGTGCCTGCAGAGCTCAGGGGAGGCAGCACGGGGAGTGGAAGAAGGGACAGACTGGACAGCAAGCATTGGGAGTGCTTGAGCTGCCTTTGATTGAGGGAGAGAAAAGAAAGCAGAAGAGTCATAGCCCATTGCCTGGCACTTTGAGCACAGCCATTTGCAGGGATGGATAAGCAGGAGAAGGCATTCATTGAAGGAGAGATGGTGGATTCCATTTGGGGTGGAATCCCACTGGTAAGGGATACAGCTCAATGGCACAGTGCCTGCCTGGCAGGTACAGGGTCCTGAGTTCAATTCCCAGTGCAAAAAGAAAAGAGAGACAGAGACAGAGAGAGATCAACACTGTCCTATCAGAAGCAGCCAAATTCCTCTCCTTACATGATAGCAGGCATTGTCTTAGTTTGGCCTGCCAGAAGTCGGCTATCCCTCCTGATAGCATTCTAGTTATAAAGACCATATCCCAGGGAGGTGGTAACAGTCCTCTGATAAGTAAGGGAAGCGTCATGCTGTGGAATAAATAGTCCTCAGAGGATGCTGTGCCAGAGAAAGATGGCTGCTGGGGTCTTTTCTTTCCTTTCTTCTCAGAGTCCCCATATTTCCCTTCTCTGCTTTTCACACAGGTTGGCACTGCCAGCTTTGGTGATGTTATCCTCCAAAGAAAGCTTGACCCAGAGGAAGAAGCTGCCCGTTTCTACACGGCAGGGCCCACCCAAGGCGCTAGAGAAGGACTGGCCTAAGGATAATGACGAGGTGGAGGAGAAGGAGGAGGAGGAGAACTATGTCCTCCACGATCCAGAAAGGGGCCTGGATTCCCTGCCTCAGCCTTATCGGATGATCAACAAGCTGGTGGAGCTTCTGTTTGACCAGTCATGGGAACTTATTGAAGAGAGGGCTGCTCTGAGGCAAGCCGACAGCACCCGGATCCGGCCTACCGTCTACACTCCAGTCTCTGAAATCCAGGTACACAGCAGGCATTCTGGATTCTCAATGCAATATTAATAAATGAAAGCGACTGCAAGTGCTGGAGAAAGAATCCTCCCAGAAACCTTTGCTGGACAAGACTGGTGCATTCTGGGAGGATTATAAGCACAGTGATCCTCATCAAAATAGGTCTAGTAACCACTTGGGGAAACAGGGCCTTCTGGTTGATTAAAGATTATACATAGGCCTTTTATATTCAGTTGCTGGCCCTGGAGAATCTTCCTTAAGGTGTCACCGCTCTCTTGCTGGATGGTTGGGAGTCCACCCATGAACCTGTGCATCCCACCCCGCACAGAGTGACTGACGCTCAGGGAATGTGGCCTTAGTTGGTGCTGGGAATATACATCGTCCTCAGCCTCTTTGTTTTCTTTGGCCACTTTTCCCTAAACGTGAGACGCTGTGAATATCTGAATGCTGTGCAAGAAGACCCAAGGGGTGATATCCCTAGGAAGAGCCCTGAGCCTCTTTGAGAAGTTGTCTCATGTTACTTGAAGACAGTGACAGCTGAGATTAATTTCTTTTCTCTTTGCCTTTGTTTTCCCAGCTCAGCCAAAGACCCAGTTGTATGGCTATGTCACAGGACTACGTATTTTTTGGAGGAGCCAAAGGATTCTCAATCTATAACCTGTACAATGCCGAACGACTATATGCTTGGGAGAAACTTAGGGTTGATGTCACCTCCATCGGGGTCACAGATTTAGGGAGTGAAATACTTATTGCTCCTGTGGATGAAATGGGTATTTGTTCTTCATCTTATTTTTTAGCCTAAGTTATAGCTAACTCTAGACCATTTAATTTAATCTCCTTGCCAGGTCTGAGGGGGCCCAGGCATGGAGAATTCTGTCTGGTCATGTAATGAATGCCTACAGAAGGCATACGGTGTGCCAGGCACTGTTTAATACTTCGAGCGTTAATCCATACAGCAGTCCTAGGAGAGAAGTGCAATGTACTGACCCTGTTCAGGGGAGGCACCCAAGGTCTGGAGGTTATATAGTGCACTTGAGATAATCTGGAAAGTGGGTGCCACAAGCAGGCAGAGGCCCGGCGCCCACACCTGGCCAGCACCCTTCTATCCTGCTGCTACGCAAACCAGACCTTGCTTTTCTCCCTTAGCCTTCCTGGAAATCATGGCATAGAAACCATGATCCATGGCCTGGATAGGTGAACTGCTACTTTTGTTTGCCCCCCAAAAACAAGACTCCCTCTAGCTTGCCCTTGGGTGTGGGCACCCCACACTGCTGCCCTGGCTTTGACAGTATCAGTGTTGGCCAGGGAGGGAGGTGGCCTGTAATACTGGGCAGGAGGGCAGAAAGCGGTCACTGAGCTGAGTCATATGTGAAAGGAAGCATCTTCCCCAAAGCAGCCAGCTTAGGCCAGCACCCCGAAGCACCCCAAAGCAGGCAGGAGTCTGAAGTAGTCAAAGCCAGAAGCAGACAGACAAGGACTGCTGACTCCATAGAAGGCGAGATTGTCAAGGTCTGGGCCAAGCCAGGAGCTGCTAAAGTGAAAAGTAAAAAATGCACTGTGCTCATGTCAGATGCTCTGTTGGTGGACATGCGACGAAGGATATAAGAGAACTTTTGGTACTATTTTATTACAACTTTTCTATAAGCATAAAGTTAGCACAAAATAAAAAGTTTAAAAAACAAAAAGACTACGATAGAAAAATTTAGCAAGTGATGAAATATGTGTTTGGGGCAGGGAGGTAAAGAGGTGTCTCAGCAGGGAGGAAAAGCAGTCTCCTCCCTGCCTTAGGTGCTAGGCAGATAACATGCCATTGCTTGACAGCAGCCAGGAGACAGGCTTTGAGGAGCTGTGAACTCCCCCTGAGCATTAACAGCCTCGAGGCACCTGCAGGACCCCTGTGGGGAAGCTGCTGTTCTGGGGTTTGGTCTATAAAGAGGATCGTAGTAATCACAATGCGTTACACTTATGATTCCAGGTCTGTGCAGCCCCTGGCCTGACAGACTTGAAGGCCAGCAGCCTTGTGTCACTGGTACATTCAGTGACATAAAAGAGGTGCCCATGCGTCTCCACTGGGCTGTCAGGCTGTCACCCCCTATTGCCAGATACCTCAAGGGGGCCTCTATCATAGGCACCAAGGCAGGTTCTGGGTATCTGGGAGGCAACTAGAAAAAGAAGAGAGAAGTCGTGGTGGCTGATGCTCATACACCAGAGGCCATAGTCAAACAGGAACCAGAGCAATGGAATCAGTTATTCATTCAATTGAATGAATCACGTGAGGAGTGGTTGGGGTTGAGGCCCTTGGCCTGGTGAGATGATCTTTATTCTCAAAGGCTATGAGCTCACAAAAGGATTACAGTGGAGGCCCTGAGTCGGGACTCAATAGTGAGACACACAGTCACGGTGACTGTGACAGCTGGCTACCACAGAGGCCTCTGCAGAGAGACATGGAAGCCGCAGACATGGAGCTGCACTGGCTGGTGCTGTTGGTCCTGATAGTCCATGACTGAGGTTAACTAAGGGTCACAGAAATGCAGAGTTGCTTTATTAGTGGTGTTTAGGACCCTTAGGTGATGATTACTTCTCTGAGGTATCTTTCAGTTGTGGCTGGTTTTGGGGTTCTGAGTCTGTTGGAAGACTTTACCTCTTCTCTTTGTTGGAGATGAGAAGTTGTTGCTTGTTTGGCCTAGCCCCTGGTTCTCTGGCACTGTGCAACCCAGCATGGGTAACTTATAAGCATCACCCCGGAGTTAAACTTAAAAAAGAGAGAAAAGAAGATGAGAAGACTTAGCCCCAGACATCCAGTTCACCAAAGGCAAATCCAGGGGCCAGTGAAGCGGGACAATCAAAAGCCTCCCACCAGGTCTCTCTGAAGTGGTAACAACAAAGCAATTAAATAAGGCTCTGGACAAAATGAAATGAGAAATAAACTCAGATAACTACAGAGATTACCAAAATACACGCCATGCTGTGTGACATTAGAGCAGGCACAGACAGAACAAGAGGCAAGCATAAGAAAATTATGGAAGTCATGAGTGCATAGCACAGGAAAGAAATGGAATCCATAAAGCAGAATCAAGCAGATTAGCCAGGAGAATAAAAACTCCACTGAAAGTATTCAAAGCAGCTTAGGCCAATGTGAGGACAGGATCTCAGATACTGAAGACAGACTTGCAGTTAGTGACCAGAAAAAGAAAGATTTCTTAAAAATAGCAAGGGACCATGAGAAATCAATCCAGCAGCTTCTAGATGAGACAAAGAATAACAAGTTTAATTGGAGTCAATGAAAAAGCAGGAGATAACACAAATGACATTAAAAAATGTTCACAGACATCATGACAGAAAATTTTCCTGGTAGAGAAAAAGAATTTGACATACAAATAAACAAGAAATATAGAACTCCAACTAACAATGATCAGAACAAACCTACAGCCAGGCATATCATAGTCAAGATTCCAGAAATTCAACACAAGAATACAGTCCTAAAAGAAACAAATCACCAATAGCAGACAGTCCCTCAGAATCACAGTTGACTTCTCAGCATAAACCCTCAAGGAGACATTGAAGTACCTTAAGTTCTAAAGGAAAACAACTTTCAACCCAGATTGATGTACCCCACAAAACTATCTTTCAAAGTTGGTGGAAAATTAAGACATTTGACAGAAAGAATCTACCAGGGATGGCAAACTCTTAGAGGAAGGGGGGAAAAGGGGAGAGCCAACAACAGGAAAATAACCTGACAAGGATAAGTCAATATATTTCAATTACAACCATCAATGTTAATGGTCTTAATTCACCAATCAGAAGATACAGACTGGCAGAATGAATCACGAAGCAAGATCTAACAATATGCTGCATACAAAAAACACAGTTAAAGGCTGGGAATTTAGCTCAACAATATAAGTGCCTGCCTGGAAAGCAGGGAGTTCAATCCCTGGTTCCAAAAAAAGAAAAACATTTAATTCAACAAGAAATTCATAGACTAAAAGTCAAAGAATGGAAAAAAGTACTCCACATGACAGGAACCCAGAAAAAATCAGGAGTAGCTATTCTATTTGCAGACAAAATGAATTTTAAGCCAAGACTGGTTAAGAGAGATAAAGAAGTTCATTATATCCTTGTAAAAGGAACAATCCAAGAGAAAGAGATAACAATCATAAAAAATATGCAACAAATACCAGTGCACTCAACTATATAAAATAATTAGTAATAGACATGAAAAATCAAATAAGCCCTAATACAGTTGTATTGGGAGACCTCAATACCCCACTGTCACAAAAAGACAGATCAACTAGATAAAAAAATAATGAAATATTAGAACTAAATCAAACTTGTGAGCAAATGGACTTAGTAGATGTCTATAGAGTGTTCCACCTCACATCAGGATACACATTCTTCTCAGCTGCTCATAGGATTCTCCAAAATAAACCATATACTGACTCACAACATGCTTAAGTAAACGCAAAGGAATTGAAATTATCCCATGCATGCTATCAGACCACAGTGCAATGAAATTAGAAATCCATGCCAAAGGAAACCCCAAGAACTTTATCAACACATGGAAATTAAATAGCACCTTCCTGAACAACCAGTGAAATTAAAGATCACAAATGAAAGGTCACAGATGAAATTAAAGAAATTAGACAGTTTATACAGTTGAATGATAATGACAGTACTTGTGGGACACTATGAAAGCAATCTTAAGAGGGAAATTTATAACAGTGAATACCTGTATCAGGAAAACAGCAAGCACATATAAGTAACTTAATGGTAAACCTCAAACTTTTAGAAAAACAAAAGCAGGCTAAGCCAAAAGCTCATACAATGGAGGAAATTATAAAGATCAGAGCAGAAATTAACACACTGTAGGCTAAAAAACAAAGGATTACAGTGGATAACTGTGGAACAGAAGGGGTGACATGCCACACAGGTGGCTGGCTCTCAAGGGATGGATTTTGGCCCATGTGCTTACAGGCAGGCAGAGCTGGGTAGGTGAGGGGCCAGACGGGAGCACAAGGAAGCCATCCAGAGGAGACGAGCAGCACAGGCACAGGGGTGAGGAGGGGGCTCCAGATAGTAATTCACAAAGTCTAGTAGCAAACCCCACGCTTCTGTGACTCCCGTGTCCTATGTTCTCAGTGGTTCTTCTGTTTCAGGTATCATCCGACTGTTCTACTTGTATAAGGATGCTCTGTTCCTTATCAAAGCCATCAATGAAGTGGTGAGTTCCCGCACGCTCACCTTTAGCTGGGAAGCAAATCCAGTTCACTTAGTCAGAAGGCAGGGCTAACTCTCCTAGGTCAGAGAGAAGCAGACACCTCCGTGGTCAGAGCCTCATACCCAATGAGAAGAGGCATCCATCAGTGTGGCAGCAGAACGCTGGTTGTCAAGGGAGGAACGTTGCTAGGGAGCTTCAGTCCCGATTTTTCTCTTGAGAATCAGAACAGGCCCTGTGTGAAGTAGTGCAAAGTCCCTACGCTGTCCAGATGGTTTTGTGTTCCCGTTCCTAAGCCCAGGCTGTTCTGCTTGGATGCTTTCCTGTCCCCTACCTGTACCGCGTGTGCTGCCTAAGTCTCTCCCATTCAAGATCCGGTGCAAAACCCAAACCTCGCCTTTCTCTCCGTTTCCTCGTACGGCTGAGAAGAGCGGGTCTCTCCTTCCTTTATGCTGCCCCAGGCAGAACACAAATTCTCTTACCTGCATCAAAAAAATTGTTTTTGTTTGCTGTACCAGGAATGAACCTAGAGCCTTTGTGCTAAGGCTGTATCCCCAGCCCTTTTTAAATTTTGAGACAGGGTCTCACTAAATCACCAAGGGTTGGGCTCAAACCTGCCATCCTACATCCTCAGCCTTCTAGAGGGCTGGGACTAAGTCACGTTCTCATAATAATACATATTTAAAAAAAAAAAAAAAAACCCTGCCTTATCACCTTTGCAAGTTGCCAGATTAGAGTACAAATTTAGTGTCCTGAAAGCTAGCAAGGGAAATAATCAAGCATTTATCCCCACTTTCCAAATGGACTGTGTGTCAAGGTGACCAACTAGCCGATGATAGATTTTTGTAGAATTCTGACAAATGCAGCTGCAGTAACCGACAAGTTATCCCTGTTCTGTGCCCGCACACCCAGGCAGCTTAGCTCAGCAATGACCACTAGCGGCTGCTGGGATCCCCAGATTAATGAGCCAGAGCCACAGTGCGGGTTCTCAGTTACCAAACTTTTAACCTCAGTGGGCCAGAACACAGAAAATGATGCAATGAGAAAAGCACGGCACCAGCCCTGGGGACAGTGCAAAACGACTGGATTTAAATTTAGTCAGCCTCAGATCTAGCCACGGGTTCACAAGAAATACATGGAAGTTGTTAAGCAACACCAAGGGCCTGGGGTGAGTCCAACCCAGAATGTGGGGCAAAGCTCATGTTTTCTTCAGCAAATAACTGGCAAACAGGAAAGCAAGTGGGGAGATTACAAACGGAAAGGCTTGTGAGACCCGCGACATAAATGAGCTTTGTTTGGATCCCGATTTGAACAAACTAATTATGAAAGGAACGTGAAACACAGTCTGGATATTAGATGGTATTTAGGGATAATCACTGTAATATTTTAGGGTTCTTTAAAGGGACGATAGCAATTTAGTGAGTTTGGAGGGGTAAGTAAAACCAGATTTGTCATACTGAGAAATTAGTATTTTCTTTTCTCCTTTTGTGTTTAAAAATTTCCATAATATCAAGTTGATGCTAAAATATATCATTTTAACTAGTTATTAAATAAACTAAAGCCTGTCAACCTAACTAGTCTCATTACCCATTTTGGTAGTCTTTAAGCTCCTTCCAGCCTAACCGTGCACCTGGGACTCGCAGGTGAAACTTGGGTGTGGTCATAGCAGGGTCCCCTCTGGGTTCTGCCGTAACCGAGGTGGAGCCCTGTATGTGGAAACCACCACTTTTTAGTGTCTCACAGAACTGACTGTGATTCAGTTGAACGATGGCCAGCACAGACTTTAAGTCTGCAAATCTGACACCTCTAGCAGGCCATGCAGCACCGAATTGAGTCTAAAAAGCTTCTGACCAAAAAGCAAGTCCCACAGATGGGGGAGCAGGAAGCAGCAGGAGGCAGCTACCCTATCAGGCCTCTTTTCTTTTCAGGATGACGCCAGCAAGCAGCCCACCTGTGTGAAGATGGAGATCTCCCAAGGCGGGGACTTTGCAGCCTTCTTACTGCAAGGCAAGGTCACCCCGAGGCAGTAGAGAGGGTTCCCCATTGCTCTGGAAGTCATGCTAGAGTCACAGAAGAGCTGCAGAGACCAAACAGAGGTCCCTGGCACCTTCACCAAGCATTGGTGCTGACACCAAGGTTTATACCAGACTAAGTCAACAACCGTGATACAGGGCTGGGGTTACAGCCCAGCGGCACAATGCAAGGTTGTGAGTTTGATTCCCAGCACCAAAAACAAACAAACAAACAAAAAACCTTGATACAGCACTAGAAACCAATGCGTTATTTTCTAAATTGTTTATTTTTGTAGTTTCTTAGTAAATAATGTTTACATTCCTTGTGGGGAGTTGGTACATGTATGTAACACATTTTAATCCCTCTTTTTGCTTTAAGGGGATGGTGATAGGCATGGAAATGCCCCTAGAATGACTTTGCAGCAGAGCCCTATGCGGCAGAGTCTGGCCCACAGCTGAGTGAGAGGCCTGAGTCCCCAACACAGCTGGCAGGGAGCGCCCGCTCTCCAGGTTGCTTCGCAGTCAAGACTTGTAGTCACCCTGGCGAAACGACGTGTGCTTCTGTCTGCCCAAGTCACCTTCCCACTGCCAAGCTCCCGCCGTCTGAGCCAGCAGTGCAGAGCAGTCCCCAATACTATTGTTAACTATGAACCCTCAGCCACAGATTTGTTGCTGCTTTCACCAGTGTTTCACTGACCCAGGGTTTTGCTCCGGGCTCCTCCCAGGGTACCATGCTGCCTGAAGTTCTATTTTGCTTTCCTCTGTTGCTCTCTGTGAGCTTTCTTGCTCTTTCCTGGCTTTCCATGGCCAGGACACTTTGGAAGGAGCCCCCATCAGATGTTTTTTTGTTTTTTTTTTTTTTGTCTTTCTCTTTTTTATCGGTACCGGGGATCGAACTCATGACCACACACTTGCAAGATAGATGCTTATACCACTGAGCTAAATCCCTCATCAGATGTTTTGTGGAACTTCCCTCAACTTCAGTGTCTGAAGGTTTTCTTGTGACTTGACTTGGGCCGCGGGTGTTGGGGACACAGTGGAAAGTGACAGTTTCCTCAGGACATGGAGGGTGGTCGGTACTTAGCGGCATGACTCACTTCTTATGTTAAACCTCCATCACTCAGGTTAAATGGTCCTCAGGTGCCGCCACTGCAGAGATACTATTTTCCCTTTCTCTTTCTTTCTTTCTTGTTTTTCATTTTTTTAGTTGTTGTTTTGCTGAGAAGCTTAGGGTCTTGCAGTGTTGACCTCAAGCTCCTGGGCTCAAGCAATCCTCCTGCCTCAGTCTCTTGGGCAGCTGACAAAGTAGGCACTTTTCTACAATCTGTAAGGAGCAGGTTACTCAGTCCAGACCACACTCAAGGGGGAGATGATTTAGACACATGCGGGAAGCAGGATAAACATTCATGGGACACCTGTTACAGCCACTGCAGTAATTAAAAACCATTTTGGGGGAGATAGTTTGAGGTGGTGTATTCATGTTTTTGTTGTTGTTGTTGTTTTGTTTTGTTTTAAGACAAAGTCTTGCTGTGTGTTTCATGCCATCCTTGAACTCACTATGTAGCTCGGGCTGGCCTTGAACTTGTAGTGATCTTCCTGTCTCAGGCTCCCAAGGGCTGAGATTACAGGAATGCTGGGAGAAATGATGCAAATGTCCATTCCTCATCAAATTCTGCCCATCAGTCTAAGCAGCCATCACCCACTCTTACCTGTGTTGGCAGAACATATGTTATTCAAACGTTTGTTGTCTTGATTTTCAACTTGTAAACATTTAGACTAAATGAGTCTCTATTCATACTCTTTCCCAAAACAATAGACATTTATCGTCTTACGGATCAGGGAGCCTGAAAGTAGGCTGGCTTGTGGTTGTGCTTTAAGGGGATCCATAGGCAGGTCCAACAGTGGCCTTTCCCAGCTGGGCAGAAGCAGAGCCCATTTCTGTAACAGAATAAGTCCCCTGCCTGCCCTGTACCTTGTCTTCTCCCCAGACATCGGTCAGAATTCCTTGGGGCATCTTTCCCAACTCTGCCCTGCCCCTGCCTCAGCACGCTCACACTGCTTGTACCTGTGCCACCTCCCTGTCAGACAGGCATGGAAATGCCCCTAGAATGACTTTGCAGCAGAGCCCTACACGGCAGAGTCTGGCCCACAGCTGAGTGAGAGGCCTGAGTCCCCAACACAGCTGGCAGGGAGCGCCAGCTCTCCAGGTTGCTTGGCAGAGACTTGTAGTCACCCTGACGAAACAACGTGTGCTTCCGTCTGCCCAAGTCACCTTCCCACTGCCGAGCTCCCGTGGTCCGAGCCAGCAGTGCAGCACAGGCGGCCGGCCCTGGCTCAGACCGGTCCCTGCTGGCTGTTGCTCAGGGAGTCTTCAATTTCCCAGTGCAGGAGCTGGCGACACGTGGCTGGACGTGTATAAGTTGCCCAGGGAGGCGTGGCTGAAGGAGGCCGAGCACCTGCCACTTACCCTGAACCCGAAGAAAAAAGTGAGACCGCTGGTAGGAAGCATCTGTGGGTCCCCGACCTAGTTCACCCTGCCCAGGGTCCCCGGCACCTCGAATCCACCGCAGTTCCAAGTGAGGCCTCTAGACGCGCTGGGAGGGAAGCAGAAACCGTGGTTCGTGTCTCCAAAATTGATTTGCTTTGGATAAAGTTTTTTTAAAAAAAGTAGAGACAAGTCTAGTGTTGGGAAGCTGGGGTCCTCCATCTGTGAGACCCCATCTGGCATTTCTCTGGAATGCGGCTCTTCCTCTGTGATCCCTGTCCCCTAGGTAGTATTTCTCCTCCTACGCTGAAATAATCGTTTAATGCCTTGAATTCCACTAAGTTTCCCAGACTGTGCTATAAAGGGAGTGGTTTTGTTTGCTTTTGTTTTTTTTTTTGATACAGGGTCTCCCTATGTAGCCCAGACTGGCCTCAAAACTGCTGACGATCCTCCTGCCTCAGCCTCCCAGCACGCCCTACCACAAAGGGAATATTGTTAATATTCTTACATATATTTGAGAAAATAGAAACACTACTATTTCAGCCTGGTCACATAATACCCTGGCCTGCTGCTGTGTCTGCAGGATAGGGTGCTCAGGATAGAGATTAAGACTTAATTTGTGTACACAATGTACACTTAATATTTTTCTTTTTCCTTAACCAACAATAACTAGCGAGCACCGGTTAAATATGTTGTATCACGCCAGACATGAGGGCAAACATCTGTAATCCTAGGAATGCAGGTTCCAGGTCAGCTAGGCCAGTTTAACAACTCTTTCAAAAACCACACAAAGGACTGGGGATGTAGCTGTGGGAAGAGCCAGCCTGAGTTCAGTCCCTGGAGCCCAAACCAAAACCTGACCACGTGGTGTCAGGCGTGAAGACGCAGTTGTGCAGTTAGCGAGGGACACGCAGGGAAAGGCTCCCGTCCCTGCTGCTGAGCCGCTGGGCGCCTCGGGCACAGTCTGCCCACCGTGCGTCTTCAGAGTGGGGGCCAGGCCTGACTCCCTTGGTTTTTAATGGCTTGCAATGTGTGAAAGTCCCTTTGCCTTCACTGGATGATGAATTTTCTGGATTGAGGCCAGACTTTTGACTGCTTTCTCACCAGCCAATCCCATAGCAGCCTGCTTTATTAGCACCCTACTGATGGGTTTTGGATAGACAGTTTATAATCCAAATAGGAAGAGCACCTTGGGTTGGGGGTGTTAGTGCACCATAATTTGGTTTTCTCCCATACCCTGGGAAGTAACCAGTTAATGCCTGTTGCAACAGTACAATGACAGTTCTTTACTATAAATTATATTTACCTAGGTGTGGAGGTGTATGTGTATAATCCTAGCATTCTGTGAGACTGAGGCAGGAGGGTCTCAGGTTTGAGCCCAGCCTGGGCAATTTAATGACTCTGTGAGACCCTGTCTAATAGATAGATAGATACATACATAAATAAACCAATAAATAGGTGGCAGTGTATCTAGTGCAGGGCAAAGGCCTTGAGCTCAATCCCCAGAACCAAATATATATGTAATAAAATTGTCAACATTATGACTATATTTTGTTAATCATAAATAGTCACTTCCCAAACATTACAGTATATACAAGTACAGAAACGTCACACAGAACCCTAGAAATGTGTCCAATTTTTATGTGTCAAAACCAAGACAAGAATGCCAGGCATGGTGGTGCCTGCCTGTAATCACAGCATTTGGGAGGCTGAGGCAGGAGGATTACTGGGTTGGAGGCCGGCCTGGGATACAAAAGGAATTCAAGGCCAGTTTGAACTACATAGTGAAACCCTGTCAATAAATAAATAACTACATACATGCATACATACATACCAAGAAAAGAAGCACTTTTAAAACTAAATAAATAATTTTTAAAAATCAAAAAAGCCAAACACTTTCGAGCCAGGTAGGTAGTGATTCCTGTAATCCCAGCACTTAGAAGGCTGAGGCAGGAGGACTGCCATGAGCTCGAGACCAGCATGGGATACATAGTGATCTTAAGGTGACCCAGAATTACAGAGCCAAGACCTTGTCTCAAAAAAAAGAAATGCTTTGATTTTTACTTTTGTAACAGTGCTCACCTCCGTTCATAACTATTTCCTCTTATGTCTTTTAAGTATTGGTTTCCCCAAGTACAGTTTAGGATCCCATGTAACGGGGGCCCATGTGTTAAAGTCCTATACGCCAGAAGACCACCCCAGTACTGGTCCTGCAGGGATTTACTTCCCACAAGAAGAACTGGGAAGACAGTGGCCTTCAGGGGCGATTACAGGGCAACGGGATAGCAAACCTATCGTGGGCTAATTTTTCATTTTTCTCCCCAGAGTACTATGGATCCCATTACTCCGGACAGTGCAGACATGGTAAGAAACTTTACAGAAAATCTCCAGAGAAGGCCAGGTGTGGCGGTGTACTTCTGAAATCCCAGCAGTCCAGAGGCTGAGGCAGGAGGATCACCATGAATTTGAGGCCAATCTGGGCTACATAACGAGACCTGTCTCAAAACAAAACAAAAGAAAACCTCATAGAAACTTCTGTTACATTTAAAGACTCTTATTTCTAAATATCAAATATATGGATAAAACATCTCAAACAGTATTTGCAGATTCTCTGTGATTTAATCTTGTGTCACTGAAGTTGGCCTCTTACCCTGGAGGATAAGTAGCCCTTGTATTGCCCATGGCTGAGTCTGCTTGTGTTTCAGGAGTACTCACTTCTAGGGTACCTTTGAAGGCTTTGGGAGGGGTTCTAGCAATGGGTTTGTATTTTTGGTTTTGTATTTTTGTACAACTGGAAAAAGTTAACATATTCAAACCAGGCATGATGGTACACACCCTTAATTCCAGCATTCAGGAGGCTGAGACAGGAGGATGGCCAGAGTTCAAGGCCTGGGCTAAGTAGTGAATTCAAAACTAGGCTGAACTACACAGTGAGACTCTGACTCAAAAATACCACAAAAAGATTAAAACAATTTAAAAAGCGTATTGAAATCACAGTGACTTAAAACCTCTGCTCTTTCCATTCTGATTCCCCCTGCCATGGTTCCCCCACACTGAGTGGTATTGATTCAGAGGAAAGAAACCCTCAACCTGCTAGACTTCACTCCTGTGGTACGAGACTGTGTTGTCTAAAACTGAAGAATGAATTCTAGGAACAGTGCAGGTGAAGAGCGGAATATGTTTATTGAGGGAAAGAAAGCTTCCGTCAGAGAGACAGAGGGGTCCTGAGTGGGGTGCCAAACTCTGCCTTCTGTAGGTCCTTCTGGAAACCAGGGGCCCCAGTGACCCTCCCGCCTCAGCCTCCCAAGTAAGTGGGACTACAGGAGTGCTGTTTCGGGGCCTCACTGAATTATGTAGCCCTCTTCTCTCCATCTTTAAACTTTTGTTGCTTCTGTGTCTACTTCAGCAGCACACATAGTAGAGCCAGAACGAAACAGAGAAGATTAGCGTGGTCAGGATGACACAGAAGGGCAGGAAGTGGGCCGAAGGGGTTTTTAAGTGGTTTTTCTGTTGTTGCTTTGTCTCCACTTGTATTATCTCAAACCTTATGATTTTACGCTTTCTAAAAAAATATCTCTTCTAGGGCCAGTGATACAGCTCTGCCACAGAGTGCCTGCCTGGCAAGTGTGAGGTCCTGAGTTTGATTTCTGGTACATGTATTTCTTTTCTTTTCTTTTCTTTTCTTTTCTTTTCTTTTCTTTTCTTTACTTTTCCTTTCCTATCCTTTTCTTTTCTTTTCTTTTCTACCAAGAGATACAGTTTTTCTGTGCAATTCAGGCTGGCCTTGAACTCCCTGTGTAGTTCAGGCTGGCCTCATGGATCCTCCCGCCTCAGCCTCCCAAATGCTGGGATTACAGGCATGAGCCACCTCACCCGACTTTTCTGTCATTTAGTGAGCCTCCAGGAGGGAGTGGAGTTAAAGGCCTGTGTTCATCCCATCACCTACGTTTTTCAACTAGTCGTTGATGGCCTATTATTCACAATCTGGATTTTGAATGTCCCCTAAGTGCCACTGCAGAAGGGTTTGTCACAGCTTAGTGCTATTGGAAGAGGGCAAAAACCCTAATGGGGGCAGTTCTCCAGTCACTGGGGACACCCCTGTGAAAGAGACACTGGGCCCAGGTCCTTTCCTCTCCTGACCGTGAGGTGACCATCTTTGCTTACCTGATGGTCCTGCCTTGATGTGGAGCCACAGGTCCAAAGCCTCAGGGCCAGCCAGGCACATCTGGAATCCCTGACAGCCTAAGCCAAGGCAAACCTTTTCTTTCTGTAAGCTGGTTACCCTGGATATTTGATACAGTAGTGGAAAGCTGACACACACACTGCCCATGATTGTGTCTTCTTTAGGTCCTTAGCTGTAGCAAAGAAACTGGGAAGATGTGAAGTCTTCAGAAATTGGCAGGAGACAGGAGAGGTAGGTGGTGAAAATGCCACTTCCAGCACAAAGGCCACACTGCTGAGTGTCACCCGCCTCACAAGACACAGGCACCACAGCTGGTGCTGACTTTCCATGATGACCCTGCACCAAGCCCCAGACAAGGCCATCACCTCTGGGAATGGCTTCTGGCTCTGTGTCACAATGGATCTCAAAGCCGAGGCCACATCATGTACCAGCCCTTATCTGCAAGGGACAGGAAGAAGCGTCCGGCCCCTCCGTTCCTTAGAGACGGCTTTTTCAAGATTTCTATGAGAGTCTCCTCAAAATAGAAGAGGTGTTTGGGGCTGGTCAAAAAGATGACAAACGTCCACCTCTCTGATCCACAGGACAGTTGTTGGTTTTTATCTTAAGTATTTTTTCTCTTAAGTTGTTGGTCTTGTATCTGGCCCCCAGGGCTTAGATTAGAGTCGTAGGGCCAAGACAGTCCTGGGGTCGTGCAACAGCAGAACTGGCACCCAAGGATGAGTTCCTCCTTCAGTCACCCTAGTCCTGGCACTACTGACCCTGTTTTCCTCCTGGTACTGGGGACTGGATCTAGTGCCTTCATACTGAGCTGCATCCCAGGCTTTTTATTTATTATTATTAGTATTAATTTTTATTTTTCACAGGGTCTTGCTGGGTCTCCAAGTTGCCCGGGCTGGGCTTGAACTTATGATCTTCCTGCCTCAGCCTCCCCTCCAGCTGGCATGGTAGCTATCAGGGAGATGTGCTAGCAGCGGCCTCTTTGCTGAACTTTGTTATTAGTTCTAATGGCTTTCCAGTTGAGAATCTTCGACTTTCTAGAGAAATAATTGTGACTATAAACACTGCTAACTTTTCCCTTTCAAGCATTTATCCCTTTTATCCATTCCTGCCTTCTTCTATTTTCTAGAATCTCTGATAAAATGTTGATTAGTAGCAGCGTAATGAGACACCTCTGACTTGTCTATAACAAAGACAGTGTTGGAAGTGTTTCACTGTGTGTGAAGCTTGCGATGGTTTTTGGTAAAAATCCTTTATCAAGTTAAATTTGTGTCACTCTGTACTTGGTTTGCTAAGGCTCTTACTTTGTTTTGTTTAAATCAAGAGTGGATATTGACTTTTATTAAATTCTTTTCTCTAAGCTTTTTAAAAAATAAGTGTTGGATATATGATGTTATAGATAGGGGAAAAAAAGGTTAATAGAAACCAAAGGCTGATCATGATATAGGGGAAAGAAATTCCCAACCTGCTACATGTCCAATACAAGTTACTGTTCTCTAAAATTGAAGAATGAATTTTAAGAACAACACGGGTTAAGAGCAGAATGTATTTATTAGAGGAAAGAAAGTTTCTATCTGAGAGACAGAAAGGGGCCAGAGTGGGTAGCCAAAGACGCTACCCTCTCTAGGGATTTTTATAGAGCAAATCCTCAATGGGAGGTGGGTCCAAGGTGGGGGAAATGGGAATCCACAAGGTGGGCGTGAGGTGGGACAGAACTACGGTCAACCAATAAGATTCTGAGTATAATTGCTCAGGTAAGATTGATTAAATCAGGATCAAATGGGGAAGCCAGTCACATAGCAAATAGAACAGGGCCTCTTCCTCTAGGGGGTTGGGTTAGTGGCTCTTCCTGGCTTCCTCAAGGTGAAGGATACCTACTTAGAATATCAGTCCCTGATATTTATCCTTAGGAAGTATGGGGGTGTATTTGTTTAATCTACAGTTGCCAGGTATCTCATCTTTCTTGCACTGGCTCCTTCGAGGGCCCAGTCCTATCTGACCCTCCATTGCCTACTCAGGTGGGTATGGCAAGGGACAAAGAAACACAAAGAGAAATTTGCAGGTTCAGGGGCTCCAGAAGATCAGCCCCTCCGTTTGGGCAAAGCCCTCGTGAGCTGCCCCACTTTTGTTAGCAGTGAGAGGTCCGGCGGGAGGGGCAGCGTCCTTTCCTGGAACAGCCACTGCAATAAAAATGAGGTAGTGGTGTGGGGAACTGGTTTGGCCTCACAGAGAAGCAGGTTAAGTTCCTCCCCACGCCTGGTGCTGCTCTCTCTGTACTGGCCTCAGCAGATGTTATCTCTGATAACAGGAGCCCTGGGGTTATGGGATTGCAGCCGAGCAGCCTTCTGCAAAAATTCCCTGTTCTCAACAAGTCAACACCGCCTCCTGACTGTAGGTGCTGTAATTTGGCTCCCACCAGCCTGTCACACAGCCTGGTCCCCAGTAAGTACAGTGAAGCAAATGGACATGTCCACCATCTCACAGTTACCCAGGAAAATCTCCCTTAGCATTGTTGGGGCACAATTGTAATGTAAGTACACATTTATAAAATGGCAAACTTGTAAGTATTTCATGATACAAATTAGAGAGCAATTAGAGGTCTCTGACCACGCTGCTGCTTCTGCTGAATTCAGTTGACCCTGACAGTCTAAAGCCCAGCTGCAGTAAGCACTTAAGAGTAATTATCTGTACCTGAAGGCACCCTGGACTAATCAGTGACACCTTTATGCTCACCCTGTGAGGACCTCTTCCCCTCCTTCCTGGAATGCTTCTGTCAACAAATCTGTTCAAGACTGGCCTGCCTGGCAATATAAGACTCCATGCATGTAACCAGTTGTGTAACATTTTGTAACTTGCTTTGTACTCCCTGCTCCTAAAGTGCTATGTAAACTGAACTCTTTGTAAACTCAGCGCTGTTTCCTTTGGGAATGATCCCGCAACAGTTCGCCTGCCTGAAAACAGCCCACCAGCTTAAAGGTTAAACCTGAAACACTGCCTTCTTACCTCCTGGGTGCAGAGGGTCTTCCTTCCGGTCTGACTCGGGAATTTTCCAGCTGCAGTATGACTTCCGTATGCAGTGGGTTCATTACCTAAATCTTCACATGCATTAGGTCTCTAGACTTGTTCCTCCTGTAAATCTGCTGCTGTCACTTCTCTCCCTTCCTATTTCATGCCCCAGAACTATGGTAATCACTGTTTTCTCTATTTCTGAATTTTTAAAAATACCACATGCAAGGAAGGTGATTTTCTGATGTGTTTTGAGTGCAATTGAGAGTGTCTAATGAAACACGAGGCAAGAGACCAAGACAGGCTTTTGTGAAAGCAACTAGGCATATGTTTAATTACCCGGATGCAGGTAGGCAGAGAGCAACAAACCTTTGGCACTGAACAAAGACAAGCACACTCCTTTTATGTGGATGGAAATAAGGCCAGTGGGAGGGTTTCATAAACATCCCTGCTTAGAATTTTCTGGCAGTCTTGTATCCTGCTGGGCAGAGTCTTTGAAACGTCCACTGTAAATGTTTGGGTATCTCCAGATGTCTCCAGGACCTACACAATTCCTTGTCCTATCTTGTCTCCTTTGCTGTGCTTCTCAGTGACAGCCTGACTGCTGAGCTGAGTCCCGGCAGAAATCAGCGCTTCTGCTGGCAAGCAGAGTGGGGAGTGGGGAGAGTCGGGTCCCATTGGGGGCTTACAGGTCTACTGTGATTGTAGACTTGGTGCCCAGGGAGCCGGGATGGGGAAAGCTGTGGGACTTTTAAGAGGCAGAACCTGCGGAGAGGTCTGTAGGGCATTGAGGGCATGCTCCGCTCTGCTCTGCTCTGCGGAGTGGCTCTAGGGCTGCCCTGGAGAGGGTTGTTAGGGGAGAGGCAAGGCCCATGCTCCTCCTCTCTGCTCCTGGTGCCAGACGTCACCCTTGCTTCTCACATGCCATGAAGTGATATAACCAAGGGACAGGCCTTGGTACAGAACCTCTGCTGTGTTGTTTGCATTTTCAGTGTCCAGAACTGTGAGCTGATAATTCTCTTTTCTTCATAAGTACCTTGTGTCAGGTAATTTGTTATAGTGTAGAAAACTGATGAATATATCATATAATATTTTTCTGACTTATTTCAATTAGCATAATATCCTTTAAGCTCAGCCATGCTGTGACAAATAACAAGATCTCATGCTTTTTTTTTTTTTTTTTTTTTTTTTTTGTCTTTTTCATTTTTATCGGTACCAGGGATCGAACTCACGACCGCCTGCTTGCAAGGCAGGTGCTTATGCCGCTGAGCTAAATCCCCAGCCCCAGATCTCATGCTTTTTAAGGGCCATAAGGATAGGACAGGACACTGTGGATATACGCACCCCAATTTCTTTACCCACCTTTCTGTTCATAAACGTGTGGGTTGTTTCCATACCCTGGCTATTGTAAAGAATACTACAGTGAACATGGGTATGTAGGTGTCTGTAGGAGGAAATGATTTGGTTTCCTTTAAGTATATGCCCAGAAGAAGAATTGCTGGGTCACAAGGCAGTTCTATTCCTAATTTCTTTAAAAATCCACATACTTTTAAAAAAAGAAGATGATGATGATGAAAACAATGACAGTGAAGAAGAAGAGGAAGAGGAAGAAGAAAAGGAAGAAAAAGGAGAAGAGGAAGAAGAAATAATTTACATACTGCTTTGCATAATGGTTGGATCATCTCTCACTGCGTCTCTACTGAATATGTAGAGACTTTTTCCTGCCATTTACATTGTGTTACTATGATAAGAGATAATCTGGAGATAATCTGGAGTTCAGGGGAGGGTCTGTGCAGGTCATATATATAGAGACACTTTGCCTTTTCATAGAAGAGCCTTGAGCACCTCAGATTTTGATATGCAGGGGCGTCCTGGAACTGGCATCCCACAGATACCGAGGGGTGTCACAGCACTGCTTTTGCCGTGTCCTTTAAATCTGGGTATCTTCTCATTTTCACTTCTTAATTTGCTTTTTTATTTCTCCTCTAACCACATGACTATGTAGTGTGCTTCACTGGAGACGTTACAGACATCTTTTTACTGGCCTCTCACTCAGAGAACATATTTCATGTTACTTGAATCTTTAAGTTTATTTAAACTTGTTTTATGCTCAGATTTAGTTTCTCTTAGGAAGCACACTTGAAAAGAATATGTATTCTGTTGTGACTGACTGAGTTATTCAAGTTGTCTGTATGCTTATTCTCACTGACTTTCTACCTATTCCAGTACTGAAAGAGGACTCTAAGATTGTAGATTTCTCTATTTCCTTCTTCATTTGTATGAGTTTTGCTTCATGTATTTTGAAGGTGTTATTCAATACATAGTGATTTGGAATGTTACATTTTCTGTTTATCATTATCAGTTTATCATTACTCAGTTTTACCCCTGGTGATGTTCTTTGTTCAGATTGAAATTGTTTTCTTTTGATTAGTTTTAGTGACATGTTTTTTTGGTTTTTTTTGTTTTTTTTTTTTTTGTACTTTTACAAGTAATGTGTTTTTGTCTTTTTGGAAACTTAGTTTCTTACTGACAGCCTGTAGTTGGGTTTTGCTTTTCTATACAGTCTGATAATCTCTGCCTTTTAGTTACAGGGTTCAAGCCATATATAGTTAGTGTGACTATTGATATGTTTGAATCAACTTTCTTACTATTTACTTCTTTTTTTTTTTTTTTTTTTTGGTCTTTTTGAGAGGGTCTCCCTATGTAGTTTGGGCTGGCCTTGAACTCTGTTTTGTAGCCCAGGCTGCTCTCAAACTCCCAGTGATCCTCCTGCCTCAGCCTCCCGAGCGCTTACAGGTGTGCACCACCATGCCTGGCTTCTCTATTTACTATTTGTCTGCCTTTCTTTCTTTCTTTTCCCTTTTTTTTTTTTTTTTTTTTTTTTTTTTTTGTCTTCTTCTTCCTTTTTTTAATGATTCTGTGTTGTCTATTGGTTCATTGGCTGTACTTTTTTCTTCCTTTAGGATGTGAATTTTTCATTTAAAAGTGACGTTAAATTGAGCCCTCCAGTTCACATAATGAAGATCAAACCACCTAAACCAATCACTGGTCAGTATGATTCAGTTAATATTCTTTGTCTTTGCCATAAATATCTCCATTTTTTTTCCATCTTAACCTTTCTCCACAATTTCCTATTTTTCTATGTAGTAGTAGCAATATTTAATTAAATGCATAGCTTTGAAGAGGACATTTGTAGGACTCAAGCTCTGAGATCTAAAAACAAATTAAAAAGCAAAATTTGCAGAGATGCAGTTAATCGCAAGGTCAGGAAAGGCAGACATCACTTCTGATTGACGGAATCCATGCCTACATTCCTGAGTAATTCACTCATCAGTGTTTGCCAAGTGCCCACAAGTGAAACCCGTCTCCTCAAAACTGATGGTGTCAGGGGAGAGTAGGAGGAAGCCACCACAAGGGACTCATTAAGAATGGGAACCAGGAGCAGCTAGGACCAGCGACAGAGTGGAGGGAGTGGCCAGCTGCCTGGGAGGAGGCAGAGGCTTTATGAGAGGAAAGGGCGTCTAGTTTTCAAGGGTGAGTGGGCACTGGTTAGGAGAAGCAGAGGCCAAGAGTCATTGCAGGTGAGAAAACAGAGAGGGCCTCCAGACTCCGACAGGGAGCATCGCTCTGACATTTGAGCCCAGCCTCTGCCACTGAGTGCGACCCTGTCTCAAAACAAAAATATGGACCAGTGGTAGAGCAACCTGACAAACAAAGGCAAAAAGATGGGGACTACAGTGGATCAAGAAGAGCAAGTTCACTTTTGTAAAAGGACACAGTGATGATTGGTCTATTCAGATTTATTCTAAGAGCCAGGCGTGGTGGCACACACCTGTAATCCCAGGATTTGGGAAGCTGAGGCAGGAGGATCATTGTGAGTTTGAGATCAGCCTGGGCTACAAAGTGAGCCCAGAGCCAGCCTGAACTGCATAGTGAGACCCTGTCTCAAAAAGAAACCCCCCAAGAAAGATTTGTTCTAAAGCTATGCGAACTAAGAAAAGATAAATGAAAAATAAAAATGTAGATTGAATATCAAAATATAGATGAGGGAAATAATAGAGAAAGATAGATGCATGAAGCAGGATGGAAAGGTCAGAACATAAATAAACAGACCCCAGCATAAATGGATACTTGTGATGTAACCAAGGCAGTACTACCGAGAAGGGACCGTGGTGCTGGTTCCCCATATCCTCACCAACACTTGGTATGATCAGTCTCTTTAAATTTTGGGGAGTGTGCAATGGTATCTCATTATGAATTTAATTTATATTTCCCGTGATGACTAATGAAAGTGAATACCTTTCCATGTGTTCACTGACCATTTGGAGTATTTCTGTTTATGAGCACTGTGTATAATACTCTTGCCTATTTTGTACTGGATTACATAGGGAATAAAAAGTTCTTAATAATTTATAGGAATTTTTTACATATTTTGGATATGGGTCATGACTAAGTTTTATGTATTTTGCAAACATCTTTCCCACTGTATGGCTTGGTCTTTTATGTTTTTAGTGATGAATCTGGTGATTAGAAGTTCTTAATTTTAATGTAGTCAAAATATCTGATTTTTCTTTTATTGGAAGTTATTTTTGTGTTTTGCAGAAAGATCTTTCCCTTGCTAGAGGTCATAAAGATATTGCTCATATTATTTTTAAGAGTTTTATTGTTTTACCTTTCATATTTCTGCATCTGGAACTTAGTCTTTGTGTGTGCCGTGAGGCAGAGGTGATACTAGTTGGGCTGGAGGTGGGGAGGAGAAGGGCAGTTGCTCTCTCTCAGGCTCTGTGGGCCAGAGGCCCGGGGAGTGGACCCCAGACTGACCACAGAATAAGAACAAAAGATGAGGCTTCTTGTGGGAACGTGAGAAGCATGAATGAAGAGGGGGAATTCAAGAAAGGAGGCCAGGCGCTGACTAATCCTGCAATATTCTCAATCAAGGCACCACGTTTAAAAGCCCCCTGGAAGCCTTTGCAAAGGTAGAAGACTGCCTGGGGCTGGGCTCCGGGCAGAACCACCTCATCAGGGACAGCCAGTGGGAGCAGCGCGCAGATCTCTTCCACGCCTCCTACAAGAAGCACCTGGACAGGGAGCTGGGGGAGGAGCCACTCAGGTGAGCTGGAGGCCACGCCCAGCCCTGGCCCTGAGCCCCTGGGACTTCAGCGGGGTTTTCTGATGTTGTGTAAGGATTAAGTACAGAAGCTGAAAACACGGGTTAAAAAGAGGGATTCGCTGGGGTGCAGCTCGGTGACAGAGCATTCTCCATTTCTTTCCTGCCTAAGTGTAATGCAGTATAGGTGTATAATTATTATACTATCTTACTACATGGCCCCAGGCATGCTAGGCAAGTGCTGTGTCCTGGGTTCACATTCCTGTCCCTTTTTATTTTATTCTGAGACAGAGTCAAGCTAAGTTGCCCAGGCTGGTCTTGAACTTGTAATCCTCTTGCCCCAGCCTCTCAGCTGGGGTTACAGCCGTAACTTCTAATGTATTATAATAAATACATCAGTCAGCAGTTAGGCCTACGCGAGTAACCTACGCTGTGATAGTAAAAACCACACCTAATCTTGGATGCATCTGTGGCAGAGATGGTTTTCCAAACAAGCCCTCCTGGCAGCTGCTGTGGGTCTCAGGAGTGTTCTCACTTTCACACAGGAAGTGAAACCTCTCATCTCACTGTCAGGTGGACCTTGAGTTTCCTCACTTTGAGACACAGAGTCTGAGGACCAAGTCCTAACAACAGCTCCTAGTTACTGAGCTGGAGCCCTAGCCAGGCTCAGTGATCCACTGCAGCCCTACAGCCCAGCAAGATACAGTGTTTAGGGATTTTTAAAAGCCAGCCGTTACACTGCTGTTAATAGTCTCTTGGGCAGTATTTGTACCATGAAAATCTGTAAACCCTACAGCAAGTCCTTTTATTTTGACACCAATGCATTGCACCAGTTTTTGTCACTCTGCTAAAATGTAGAGAATAGCAATTTTTTTAAAAAATTGGGGATTGAACTTTCCACCTTGCACTTGCCAAGCAGGCGCTTGTGCCTGCTGAGCTAAACTTCCAACCGAGAATACCAATTTAAAGAAAGCAAGATGCCAGGTATAGTGTTGTATACCTTAATCCCAGAACTCAGGAAGCTGAGGGAGACAGATTGCCATGGGCCGGAGGCCATCCTGGGCTACACAGTGAGACTGTGTCTCAAAAACAAACAAAACACACAGAAAAGCAAAGATTCAGTTTGGCTCATGGTTCCAGAGGGTTCAGGCCATGGTACACGGTGCCACTGCTCTGCCTGAAATAGGAACTGGGAGAACATGGTGGAAGAGCGTGGCAAGGAAGGCTGCTAAGCTCATGACAGCCAAGAAACGGGGAAAGAGCCAGGGAGAGGGCAGCGGCTTCAGAGGGCACCCGCCTAGTACCTGCTTCCTCCCACTGTGCCCCCCTCCTGGTAGTCTGTCCCGCTGTGATCTCATCCGCAGGTGAATCTGTTAGTACAGTCAGGACCCCACCCCTGAACACTCCCACGTGAGTCTTCGGGAATGCTTTCTATTTCAACCATGACCCAGCTTCTCAGCACACTGCTGGGGCAGGAAACATTTAGACCTAAGTCTACTCCTTCACTCAGGCTCTTCCCCAGGACAGAGAGGCCTCTCCCGTGGCAACCCAGCTCCAGCAGAGCCTCTGCCCTGCGCCCAACTGGTTTGGGAGTGACTCCACTGCGCCACCCTCACCAGCATCCCAGCACCTTCGTGTCCCCCGAGGACCAGCACCTGAAAAGCTATTATCTTGCATCCCTGGTTCCTTATGAAGATCCCCCCCTAGCTGTCTGTTTCTGGTCCAAAACCAAGATTCCCCCAGACCCCCGCTGAGACCCCCCTGGCCGAGGAGCCTGACCGCGTCTCCTTCCTTCCCAGCTCTGCCACGTTCTATTTCCTCCTTCCCAGCTGCGTCACCTCGATGCCAGCAGAAGCCAAGAGCTCCTCAGGTAAGGGCATGTGCCCAGGCCATTGTCCCGGGCAAGGAGTCACCTCAGGGAGATGTCCAAAGCTGCCCTGCTGAGAGAGGACCCCTGAGCCCTGCTGGTGGGAGGGGGTGAGCGTGGGCATCAGAGCACCAGCAGTGGCTTAACAGTTGCTGTTTGGATGGGCATAGCCCAGAGCCCCTGATAATAAAACCTGGCACCCATCTTCCAGGAGCAGCCCTGGGAGCAGACCCGCCCCAGCAGCTCACTGGCTCAATAAGCAGCTTTCAACTTCCAGCCACTTCCCCTTGGGCCTGCTCCTTCCGTGTGGACATGTCACATCCGCACTCTTCTCCTCTTCCCAGGGGTGGCCTACGTCCTGGGCATACACTGGACCGGAAGCCACAACTTCTTCCTCTATTCGTTGAACCGAACTTTGAAGGACAGAGCCGGTACTTTTCCCTGAGACGGGAGGTGCCTGAGCTGGGGGCTGAGGACAGGAGCTCGTGTGCAGCCTGGGAGGATGTGACTGACACGCAGCAGTGACACTCCCGGGAGCCAGAGCTGGGCAGGCAGAAGCGGGGGCTGCACAGCTGGGGTGTGTCCTCGGGGGTCAGTCCAAAACTAACATGACAGGCCAAGAGGGACGAAGCCGGAGTGTGGGCCCTGCCCCGCAGGCCAGCGCCAGGCCTTGCCCATCTGGCTGTGAGGCCTGTGTCGTGGCCCCACCCTTACCCCAGCCTGGCTTCTCACCCTGAACACAGAGCTCAGCAGTTAGGCCACGCTGTCTGCCATGAAGGGAAGAGGGCAGAGCTCCCTGTGTGAAGGCCCCTTCGCATGGATGGGCACCGAGAAAACGTGGGTGATGTGCTTTCCCCTTGTTGATTCATATGACAAACAGACGCATGCTCACTGTGTCAGGCCTAGTGCTATACACTTGTTACACTCTAGTGTTATACCCCAAAAGTCATAGTACAAATCCTCGAAGCGGGAATTTCTTTTCTTCTGCCCTCTGCAGGCAGCCTGGCTCCTAGTCTCTGATGCTCCACTGATTGGCCATGTGGCCTTTGGCAAGTGACTTCCAGTCCTGCCTCAGTCTTTCTATCTGTAAAACGGGTCAGGGGTAAACTAACTGCATAGAATGCTTTTGAGAACCAAACTAAACGAGACCTGCAGAGCACTTGGCACTGTGTCCTGAGCCTAGAAAGTGGTTTACCCTACTCTGAGGAAGGCAGACAGCATCAGGGACCTCTCCAAGGTGACACGCATGTACAGTCTGGTGCCCAGGCCTAGCATGGGGGGGATTGCTGGGTTGCAGGTTGGTGGGCAGGGCAGGGCGTGGGGCAGCCAGTAAGCAGTGTCCTCCCCGCAGAACCTGAGGGCGTGTGGCCTTGTGCTGCACCCATCGCTGCCTCGAGGCTCAGCTGCTCCTCTTCCTACCTGGTGCTGGCCTGTGAGGACGGGGTGCTCACACTGTGGGATGTGGCTGAAGGTGAGCCCCCCTTCTCTCCAGCCCCTGCTGGGTCCCTGGCTGTGGCACTGGAGCAGGAATTCCCAAGGCTCTGGGAATTCTTCATGATCCCATCTCCTCTCAGCCCCACCTACAAGCGCATGAGGCTTTGGGGGTCATCCAGATACAAACCGTGACAGACACTTACTGAATGTAATCAGATGTGCTGGCGCTGGCCACAGCCAAGTACTAGTGAGTGTGTACCATGTGCACAGTATTGTGCACAGTGTTGTGCCAGCTGCTGTGCCACCATTGCGAGCATGACGATGCCCCTGCCCGAGTGTCTGCTAGCACGGGAGAACCTGGAGCCTCTGCCCTTCTCCTCCAGTCCAGGCTCTCAACATGAGCTAGTGTTCTCCTCCATCTGCTCCCTCCGTTTGGTCAGTCTGTGGGCAGGAGTCCCCTGGCCCTGAGTGGCTAACAACAGCTGGAGTGGGGAGCAGTGTCCCGTTAGGATCTGGTCCAGGGCCACTTTGCAGGTGCCGGAGTCAGTGGTATCTGTTTCCCCGAAATGGATCAGCCCAGTGGGTCCTGCCTACGAGAGCTACAAAGGCCTGGTGACGCCGTGCTTTGCCTCTTCCCAAACCCTTCACACAGCTTCCTTTCATCTTCTGGGAGCCGTGAATCCTGTTCACGCACACACATGTGCAGCCCTCTCCTGAAAGCTTGGCCAGCGTCAGCCTTGGTCGGCTCAGCCTCCTCCACTGCCTGCTGGCTCTGCACCCTCCGCGGGCTTCGTTCACCTCTCCCCAGCTCCTCCTCAGAGCTTGCTGGGCACCGGGGTCCTGGTTTTGCTGCCAGAGGCCCCCAGTGCTTGGCTCTGCCTCCCTCCCAGCCTCACACCACTCCCTGGCCACAGAGCCAGTGCCCATGGTGGCCGTCCCTGCCCAGCCAGCCCATGTGATTTCTTTCCGCAGGGTTCCCTCTGGGGGTCATCGCCCTTCCAGAGGGGTGTTTCTGCCAAAGCATTCACTTCCTGAAGTACTTCGTGGTCCACAAGGGACAGAACCTGTACCCAGAGGGCCCAGTAAAATCGCAAGTGAAGTGTGTTGTGCTGTGCACCAATACTTCCCTCCACCTGGTGACAGCCAGCAGCACACAGGGACCCACCAGCCAGGTGCTCGTGACCAGGTGGGTGACTGGAGAGCAAATGGGGCCTGCAACCCGCTAGACGGAGGGTGCTATTCCACGGGAAAGACAGGCAGTCCCCGTGGTCACCACTGTCCTGCCGAGCTGTCCCATGGCTGCATCCTGTGTGGATGACACATTGTTTTGACATTGTATGATGAGATATGTGACATCTCCCACGTGCCACAGGGCCAAGGAGAGCTCGTGTCTGCCGGCATAACCTTTCATATGTTGCCCCAAGATCTCTCCCTTTTTTAAAGTTTAAAAAGCCTTTATGCACGCAAATCAGTGTGTGTGTAAAGAATAATCAGGTGAACTCCCCTCGCCACTGGAAACCCACCCTCTCCAGTTCCATTGAGGTCCCCTATGTCCCCCTAGCTCCTCCCCACAGCGTGCTCATCATCTGTTGCCACAGAACCCAGCCACCCCAAAACTTAGTGGCTCGACAAAGCAGTCCTGACCAGCCCTGATTCTGCAAGTCCGTAGCTCAGCTCCGCAGTGCCTGCAGGCCTGAGTCAGGGTGGCCTCACCCACACACCAGCAGGGGGCGCCTGGGCTCTGTGCCTCTGGCCTCCCCGCTGGGCTTCTCACAGTAGTCTAGGGGTGCCCTGCAGCAACGGAGGAGCAGCCCCTCCCCGGAAATGCCTTCCCAGCCTGTGCTCCTGTGACGACTGCTAATGTCCCATGTCCCACGGGGCCACACACATCCCACCACCAGCCCAAGGATCAGCAAAATGGACTCTGCCTGTAGACAGAAGTCACCTGCAAATCCGACTGTTTTTTAAATCCCATCATTTTCCTGAGTTCATCACCCCTTGATTTCCTTTCAGAATTAATCACATATGCGTGCCTGTATCTCTAAACAGTGTATTGTTTAGCCCTGTATATTTATGCAACTTGTAAGGGCAAGCTTGCTCCTCCTGTATATCCTCCAGCTCGTCAGTGATACGTGTTGTAACTTGCTTTGCAGCACTGTTATTAGAGTTATAGATGCTACTGCTTGCAGAGGCCAGTCTTTCATTTTCACTATGTCGTACGCCACAGCACTAGCAGGAGGATGCTGGAGTGGCCACCAGTTTTTGCTACACATCTCCTAGTGTACATGCTGAGTTTCCTGAGGACGGGCCCCAGGAGAGAAGGGTAAAATTTTGAAACTCTCAGGGGAGAGATGTGTTTTGTGTCCTGCAGACCTGTGAAGCTTCTGGATGAAACCATCTGTGCAGTGGCCCCAGTCCCCACCTTGCCTGGCATGGTAGGTGTCACATGCCTCACGTTCCTCTTCTGTCAGTGTGTTCCCAATTCCCCTTCAAAAAACACGCGTGCGTTGAACGGAGGGTAAAGCCCTGCAAGGAAGTGCTTGCCTGGCACACACAGGGCATGGGTTTGATCCCCGGCTTTGAGAAGAAGGAAAAAAACATAAAGCTCTGTTGACAGCCTGCTGTGTGCTGTGCACAGGAGAGGAGAGGCTGTGGGCAGCAGAGAGGAAACAAAGCCTGGGCAGGGGTGCAGCTCCGGGGAGCAGCCTGTGCTCAATCCCCAGCACCAAACTCAAATTGGAAGGAGCTCCTGCATGCATGGAGCTCATAGTTCATTTAGAGAGCAGACCTAGCAGCAGGCGGCTGCCCTAGGACACGGGAAGCGTTGTGATCAGATTCTGAGCTGGAGGCGTGGGTCACAGAGGGTCCCCCAACTTGGCCTGCAGAGGTTGCCATGGGACAAGAACGTGACAGGAAGTGACAGCTGAGCTTCACCAAGGAGCCCAGGAGCTCTGCAGAGGAGAAGCATGGGGGGACATTCAGGCTGCTCAGCATCAAATCCGTGCCCCAGTGTAGGGGTGCAAAGGTGCAGGGGGTGCAGAGAGACCAGCTTAGGAGGGTATGTGCACCTGCCCACGGGACGGGGCTGGATAGTAGGATCATGGAGAGTCACCGGGCAGGAGAGACCACTCAGATCCTGGGTGGGGGACATGGCATGAGGGGTGTCAGCAGCAAGGGAGGCTGGTGAGACCTGGGAGAGAGACCAGGACCAGGCAGGAGGGTCAGCATGCACACATGTCCCTCGACATCTAAGAGGGACCTCAGGGCTGGCCACACGAGAGTCCAAACATTCCCTGTGCCTGTGCTGTGTGTCCAGCGGGGGTGGCCTCTGTGCTGTGCTGTCCATGGGGGACAAAGACCCAGGTCCCCACTTGGCACTTCTTGGTGTCCCAGGTGCTGACCTTTGCCAGGAACGGCTCCATGAGCCTCATGGACGTGGCCAAGGCTGAAGTCGTCTGTGCCTTCGCTCTGCCCAGAGCCCCCCGGCTGGCTGTGACCTGGAAGCCCCTGTTTGCTGTGTCTTTACACCACCCTTGCTTCCTGCTCCAGGGTGAGGAAGGGGAGTGGGACCCACCCAACGACAGCCCTCTGCAAAGCAAACCCTGCCCAGCATCCTCTTTACCGAGTCCCTTCCCCCATAGGCCAGAGGATGCCCCAGCTCAGTCCCCACAGGGGTCTCTGATCAAGGGCTGGCACAGTCTGCCTGGAGTCAGACCCCCTCGCCAGGCAGAGCTGGCCAGGTGGCCCTGCCCAGCTCAACCCCGAAGGCCCAGCCCTCCCCACCCATACCCCACAGCCCTTGGGCCAGCAGTTGCTCAGAGCATGGGCTCCTGTTCCTCCCAGGTGACTGTCCAGGAAAAGAGGAGCCCACTAGTGACACTGAGGACACCCGGAATTCTGTTTTTTGTTTTAACTTTGAGGCCTACCCACTTCTGAAAAATATCTCCAAAAATCGAACAATTTCCCAAGAGGGCTCAACAGAGAACCTGGCGTTACCACTGGAGAAAAGATGTGAGCTCTTGCTCCAGAAGAGGTAAGGCTCTTGGTGTCTACTCTTCCCGGGGCGCGGGCCCATGTCTGGGGTGGAGACAAAGGAGTCTGCTGTTCTGTAGGGTCCCTTGGGCATTACATTGCTCCCCCAGGTACCGGACTCCAGTTTGGTACAAAGGAGCTAGAAAAGAGTAGGTAATTTGGCTTGACAACAAAGGAAGGTTTCGGCTGACCTTCTTCCCTTTGTGAGCATCTTGGTGTTTTGTTTTGTTTTTGCTTTTTTCCAGTACCAGGGATCAAACTCACAACCTCGCGCTTGCCAGACAGGTGCTTATGCTGCTGAGCTAAATTCCCAGGCCCCATGAGCATCTTTTTTATTTTCTCATTTTTAAAAAAGCACACTTGGATTATTAGGCAGGAGTTAGGACAGGGAAAACTATGATTATATTTGACCCACTGCCTAGTTTTGAAAATAAAATAGTTTTGATTTGACTTTGGTGCTGGGGATTGAAACTGTGACCTTGCACATGCTAAGCAAGTGCTGTGCCACTGAGCCAGACTCCAGCTCCTTGTAAATAAAGTTTTATTTAAACACAGTCCTGCCCTGTTGGTCACTGTCTGCTATGGTTGCTACAATTGCAAAGCTGAATGGTGACAACAGAGACCACATGACCCATACAGCTGGCTGACTCATTCTCTGGCCTTTACAGGAAAAAGTTTGCCAACTGCTGGCCTGAGACCTTTCCTTTACCCATCACCTAGACCAGCAGTGGCAAACCTATGGCACGCGTGCCACAGCAGGCTGTTTCTAGCACAGAAAGCCGTAAAAGGTTCGCCATCACTGACACAGACAATGGTCCTTTCCCTGCTCTCCCACACCCCCAGAACTTGCTTGTTTTCCCCTCTGCACCACCAGCATAGATCCATCTTAGAGCCCAGGAGTCTCTCCTGCCTGTCTCACGATGAGCTGCTGGGGGTTTGCATGATAATGCACGTAATGTGGCGGGTACAGGACAGTTCCTTAATAATGGTAGATAGGATAAGGATCATATGTGCGTGGGGGAGCCAAATAAGGTGACGCATATCAAGCAAGCAGAATTGCTGTGAGTCCAAGACTAGGCCAAGGCTATATGGTGAGTTTAAAACCATCCTGAATTACAGAGCAAGACCCTGTCTCAAAAGGCAAAAATCCACTCGGGAGGCTGAAGCAGGATTGCCATGAGTTTGAGGCCAGTGCGTAAGTGAGCTCAAAGCCAGCCAGTACTACTTAGCAAACTACTCCCCAAACAAAACAAAACAAGCCTGGGTGAATTCTAGACATTACCACTAGGTGGCACCACAGCTCGCCGTTGCTTTACAGCTCTGGCGGACAGCTCCATCTCCTCCCTCTCCGTTTGCTCCTCCTTTCCCCTGCCCTCCTTTCCTTTCCTTTGATGTAGAAGGGGTACCGGGATTGCAACCTAGGCCTTGATCACGCTAAGCCAGCGCTCATCTACTGAGCTGCACTCCCAGCCCCGTAGCTGCCGCAGCCGTGCCCTTCTTACGTGGGACCAGGCTGCAGACAGAAGCCGGTCCATTCATCCGGGGAGGCGGGGTGGTGCGGTGCCAGGCAGAGGCTGGTGGAGAAGGTGACCCTTGACTTGACAACGCCCTCTACTAAACAGTTGCAGACAAGGCTGGGCTGTTCTTCACATGGGGACTTTCTCCTCTAACCCTTGATGACTTGCTCTTAGAAGACACAGCTGAAGAACTTAGCGGGACATGTCATAATGTCCACAACTTCAAGTGGCCTGGGAAAGTATTTATAGACAGACACAGTTAAAATGTTAACAGATGGTGAATTCTAGGAACACGATTACGGAGAGAGAAAGACAAGGCAATAAAGCATTAGCAACTGGTGAATCTAGGCCAAGGTTCATTTCTACAGGTTTGCTAATTTTCAAAATAATGCCAGGTGTGGTGGTGCATGCCTGTAATCCCAGCACTCGGAAGGCAGAGGCAGGAGAATTGCTGTAAATTCAAGGCCAGCCTGGGTGCATAGTGAGTTCAGGCCAGTCTGAACCACTAGCAAGACCCTGTCTCAAAAAACCTAAATAAATAAAGAAAAATTAAAAGAATGGGAAGGTTTATAAAATATTATTTACAATAGAATGCCGACTTTGAGTAAAAGAGGCGATGGGAAATGTACTCAGTAGAAACACTGGTTAGGTTTGGGTGATGGGAAGTGTGTGTGGTGGTTTTTCATTGTGCTTTCTCCCTGTGCAACTTTTCTATCACAAATATGTGTTGCTTGGGGCTGGGGATTTAGCTCAGCGGCATAAGCGTCTGCCTTGCAAGCACTTGGTTGTGAGTTCGATCCCCAGTATCAATAAAAAAAAAAGTCACAAATATGTGTTGCTCTGGAGAACAGATTAAAAATAATAGTGAAAATTAGGCCAAGGGCCTGCGGTCAGCCATGCTGCAGGGGGAGCTCTCCCCACCAGGGCCGTGGCCTGGGCTTCCTGCTCCTCCCTGGGGCCTGAGAACCGCTGGGCGTGTGAAGTGGTTCCTGTCTGAGCCCGTTTCCTTAGCCTGCACTGACCTGTGGCTCCAGGGCTCGGACACCTGAGCGTGGGAACGGGCCCCGGGGAAGTGCTACTGCCTCGTCACAAGAGAGAAAGTACTGTATGCATTCTTTCTGTTCTCTAATAAAAATATTTGCAGAAATCCAGGAAACAGGAAGATGCCAAAAACGAAACTGAAAAAATGCATAATCCTACCATTACAAACCACCAGCAGTCTGACTTTATGTCACTCCAGAATATAATTTAACGTGGTTTTTTTGTTTAGTTTTGGTACTAGGGATTGAACTCATGACCTTGCACATACCAGGCAAACCCTTGAGCCTCTGAGCTAAATCCCTAGCCCTGTTTTTTTGAATTTTAAGAAAATCATTTTTCTTGTTAGTTCTCCGCCCCCCTAAGGAAATAAACTGAAAGGTGGCTGGAGATTTCCTTTGAGGTGAACAAGGCCACTCCTCCAGGCCCATGGAGGGAGCACATTGGCCCAGGAACATGCAGTGTCTCAGGTCCACTCCCCACATGACCTGGAAGCAAAAAAGAGGACAAGGAAGGGGCGGGCAGTGACCTCAGACTTCCCAGCTGGCCGCACCTCTTAAAAGTTCCCACCAGTTCTCCACAGTGTCGGGCTAAAGACCAAACTTTGTAACACACGAACCTTCAGGGGACATCCAGTATCCAAAAGCTAGCATTTGCCAATACAGGGTTTGGTTTTGGGAAGTACTGGGGGTTGTAGCCAGGGTTCATCTACATCCCCAGCCTCTCCCATCCTTTGTTTTTTTAGATCGAACTCACAACCTCGTACTTACCAGGCAGGAACTGTGCCACTGAGCTAAATCCCCGGCCCACCTGTCCTTTTTTTGAGACATGATCTCCCTACGTTGTGCAGGCTGGGCTCCCACTTGCAGTCTTCCTGCCTCAGCCTCCTAGTGTGCTGGGATGCCGGGTGTCTATCACTACGCTCAGTGACAGTGTAATATTACATACTGTGTATAACCTGCGTCACTCCCACCTCACTTCCTGCCAGGGGGGGGTCCAGGGTGACCCAAGCACACAAGGGCTGAGCTCGGGCCTGTCTTCACTTTCCTTTGCAGCCTCTTGAGACACAAAGGTGACCTTCGCCAAAGTGGCTGCAGCTGGCAGACCTCGTGGGCTCCACTGGGGACTCCACTGTGCCCCCTCCCTCTCTCTGTCTTTGGACAAGAAAAAGCACTCAAAGGAAGGGTGCTGGCTGCCTTTCGCTGCCATCACCCCACTGCCAGGCCTTCCTGTGCCCCTTCCTACACTGGATGCAAAAGCAGGCAGGCAAATCCATAGCTCCGTGTTAGTTTAATCTGAAGTGTTAGTTGGATGGTACCGGGAATCAAACTCAGGACCTTGCACTTGCCAGGCAGGCGCGGTGCTGTTGAGCTATATCCCCAGTCCTAATTTGGAGTTTAAGGATTTAAAATTTAATCTTGCGGTTACCCACCATGGTGGTAAATCTCTCCTCTTCTGCAACTGGTCCTGGGTTTTCTTCTGTGATATCCTCCTCTTTTGTCTTAAGAGTTTTTTCAATGCTGTGGTGAGTAATTTTCTGCTTGGGCTTTGGATTGAAGTCATTTTGATTGCTTCTTTAGCCAGAGGCACTAAGTGACTCCTAGCTGGACCTGAGCCGCAGCTTGGCGGAGTGAGAGCCTCAGAGCTCGGCAAATGGGCAGGCGGAGAGGGCTTGACTCTGGCGCTGTCTTGAGGGTACCTGGGGCAAAGCCCGCTGATCTTTGAAAACTGGACGTTGTGTGGGGCACCCTGTGAAGGCCAGTGCCCCTTTATTGCAGAGAAAGCCCTCCTGCCTGCCAGCATCATGCTTCAGAAATCATCCGCGTCTTGCATGAGCTGTTCACGGTTGTGTTTTCAGTCTCAAATTCTTTCTGTTCAGCTGCCTTCTGCAGAGTCATTCACCAAGGCAAGGCTGTGCCGACCCCTCGGCCCAGCTCTTTCACTTACATTTATTTATCAGCACCAGCACGGTATTATTATAATTAGTGAAGCTTTACTGTGCACTTACTATGTGCCGGGTGCTACGCTAAGTACTTTGCAGGACGATCGATGATGACTGAACAGGGTCCAGATTTACCACTCTGTAGCCCAGGCTGACTTTAAGTTCAGGATCCTCCTGCTTCAGTCTCCCAAATGCTGAGATGACAGGCAGGCACCACCTTTATCACTGTCAGCAGCAGCAGCAGCTGAGGCTTGTGGGATTGCCCACTCGGGGGCACAGGCTCATGCGGGAAGGGGCGGGGTCTGAGCCACAGCACACTGAGCTTCTGGCTGCTGGGGACAAGATCCCTGCCCGCTATGGTGTACACTGCAGCCCATGACCCAGGCATAAACAGAGCTTTCCCTGGGAGGGGCGCTGATTTCAAGTGGAGAAAGCAGGGTGCACAGCAGTGTGTTGCAGGCTTCTAAGTACATTTTTAGATTGAGTGACCTTGAGTGGAGAAACGTTAACAGATATAAAGGAAGCTATTGGTTATGGGAACAAAAAATAGATGTGAGTTAAGTTTTTTTTTTTTGTCTTTTTCCTTTTTATCGGTACCAGGGATTGAACTCACGACTGCCTGCTTGCAAGGCAGGCGCTTATGCCACTGAGCTAAATCCCCAACCCCCGTGAGTTAAGTTTTTATTCTCAGTGTATGAGTAATTGTATACGTTTATAAAGAAGCAAATACAGAGTACTCTTTTTTTTTTTTTTTTTTTTTTTTTTTTTGCAGCATTAGGGATTAAATGCCAGCCTTCACACACAGCTGGGTCTCCAGCCTGCCTGCCAGTCTGTCTTTCTTTTGAGACAAATTCTCAGGTCCAGGGATTTAGCTCAGTGGCTCAGGAGCTTGACTGGTGAGGGTGAGGTCATGAGTTCAATCCCCAGTACCAACAACAACAACAAAAAATCAAATAAGACTAGTTCTCAGTAAGTCTCTAACTCACCCAGCTGAACAGGAACTTGTGATCCTCCTGCCTCAGCTTCCTAGAGTGCAGGGATCACAGGCATGTACCACCATGCCCAGTTTGTTGATCACTTTTGTTTTGCTTTTGTTTTTTGGGCAGGGTTTTACTAGGTAGTCTAGGTTGGCCTGGAACACAGTGATCTTCCTGCCTCAGCCTCTCCAGTGCTGAGATCACAGGTGTGCACCACCACACCCCGGTACAGGTTACTTTCTAAATTAGAACTTCCTTGTGTCTGTGTAGATGTCTCACACGCAGTTTAAAGAAACAAATCCAAAGCCACAGTCCTTGCCTTTCTCTTCAAAGCGTCCCTCTTGCTGATTGGCCTGATCTTACTCTGTCACTCAAGGTGGAAGCCCAGGCAGCAGCACACCCCAGCCCTACTCCCTGCCCCCTGGAACCCCCAGACCCCACTGCACACACAGTGAGACACGGTCATGGCGTGGTCTGTGCTGAACATGCTTTAATTTGCTGTCTTTGAGCTCTGATTTGTACGACTGAACCCAAACATTTCAGATTAGTGGCCGATGATTCTTGTCCCTTGTGACTGGCATAAGGCCCTCAAGGTCTCTGCTAGAACAGACAGAATCTTTTCTTTCTTTCTTTTCTTTTCTTTTTTTTTTTTTGATCTTTTTGAGACAGGGTCTCACTATGCAGTTCAGGCTGGCCTTGAGCTCACTTTGCAGCTCAGGATAGTCTCAAACTTGCAATGATGCTCCTGCCCCAGCCTCTCCAGTGCTGGGATTACAGGGGTGAGCCACCATGCCCAGCTTGCCTTCTTTTTGAAGGCTGAGTAATATTCCATTGTGTGTGCACACCTGCTTTTGTTTGCAAATGCACCTTTCTTCCTCAGTCCCAAGCCACCCATCCACTCGCACCTCCTGGCCTCCAGCCCTGGCCTGCTCTCAGCAAAGGGTGTTGGATGCCGCTGTATGTGGACAGCCTGAGGTGAACTAGTTGTCATGTTCAGTTTTTCCCTGAGCACTGGGTCTGCCCCAGGCCAGGGAGCAGGAGGTGGGGAGGCATCTTTGACCTCTGGCTTTGTGGCCTTCAGCTTCCAGAAGCTGAAGACTTCCCTGGTGACAAAAGACCAAGAGTGGATCCGACTACGCAGGTACTCCACGCTGCTCCAGAAAGAGAACTTCCGCAAGTGACAGCCACCCAGCCGCCTAGGGACTCAGAACAGGCCTCAGCCTGGGCTGCCACTTCCAGCATGAAGCACACTGCGATAACCACCCCCAGCCTGAGGGCCCTGGGCTCGCAAGCCATGGAGGCAGCAATGGGAACAATACCTTGGGGACCGTCAAACACTAAGCCTCTTGTTGGTGCCAGAGTGGGGAGCACAGTGTCACCCCATTAAATAGCAGTTTTGTTTCCAGACTCCAAGTCGCCATGCTGGGCCCCATCGTTCCCACTAAGCCCAGACCCAGCAGGGCCCGGCCATAGCTCTCCCAGTCCAGAGGACCACTGCTAGCCTTGGGGACCAGGGACAGCCTCTTCCTCAACCAGCCAGGCCCCTTCCTCTCCTCCTGTTCCTCCTCACCCTGCTAGCTCCCGCTGGGGTGTGGCTCCTGGCTGAGCGCCACAAAGAACAAAAGGAAAAGAGAACTGAAGTGATGCTGAGGAGCATCCCTGATGGGGTGACAGGCTTGGGCCACCTGGGTACTGTGGCTGCTAGGCGCCTCCGCCGACATTGCCCACTGGGCTGGGCACTAGAGGAGACCAGGAGTCCTGGAGACTCTCAGAGAAGCCTTTTCCATCCTCATCAAGGTCCAAGAAAGTTTATAATTGTAATCCCAAGGAAAGGTTATTGGAATTCTAATCATTTAATTCCAATCTACCCCTTCCAAAGCAACCCACAGTGAGAAGAAAACACAGACATATATACCGTTGTGGGGAGCCAGGAGGTCCTAAGTCCAGCCAAGGTGGTGGTTCTCCAGAGCAAAGGCCTCGCCCAAAGCCCAACCTGGGTTTATAAATTCTCCATGAGGGGCGTGGCTCCGGGGTGAGCCACAGTGAGAGTGGCGGGAAATCCGTGACTGCCATGAGTTGGGCTAGGTGGGTCTGAGATCACCTCTTCCATAAGCAGAGGGCAAGGAATTCAGAGAGAGCGATCTGCAGAACACAGCTGAGGCAGGAGCTAATAATTAGAGGCCAGTGCGTCAGGTCTGATGTGCAACCCTTTTCCCCTGGGAAGTCACAGCCTCTTTCTTGAGGCTCGGTCCCAGCTGACAGCATGGAGCACGGCTCTCCATCCTGCCCAGCGCAACCAGGTATTTGGGGAGTCACTGGGCGGGATAACACTGACATGTCTCTTTGCCTTGGAAATTAAATATCAACTCTTCAGCAGCCCAATTTACATTGCTTGAAGCCAATTAAAGGGACAAAGAAATGGCCTGGCCAGCTCTATAGCTCTATACCTATTAATACATGGAGATAGAGCCAAGTTTATCCAAAATGGACAGAGTTGCTCCTCTTTTAAGGGAGAGTCATCTGGGTAGTTCCCCACAGAGACTCTTGCTTTCTAGAAACTGCCCCTTCCAGGGAAGCCTGGTGTGCTGCATGCCTGTTATGCCAGCATCAAGAGGCTGAGGCAGGAGGATCACTGCAAGTCTGAGGCCAGCCTGGGCCACATAGCGAGTTCAAGGCCAACCTGGATTTACATAGTGAGACTCTGTCTCAAATTTAAAAAAAAAAAAAGAAAAGAAAACAAAGGGCTTGGTGGCACATGCCTGTAATCACAGCACTCAGGAGGCTGAGGCAAGAGGATCATTGCAAATTCAAGAGCAGCCTGGGCAAAAAGTGAGCTCAAGGCCAGCCTGAGTTGCACAGTGAGACCCTGTCTCAAAAAGACCAAAAAAAAAAAAAAAAAAAAAAAAAGAAGGATAAAACACTGAAACTGACCAAGGATCCCCAGAAGGGCAGGTCCACTTGTCAGAGGACACCTTGTGGTTCTCTTGAGAACTGCATGCAGTTGTGGCCGATGCTAAACTGCCTGGCTGGATGTGTGTGCATGTATGTGGCTTCTTTTGTACCCATTCTCCTCCCTTGCTGGCTGCACACCATGCCTCTCGCTGGCCAGATACCTCCCTTCAGGCAGTGATACTGTCTGACTGAATGTCCCCAGATGGAGGTCCTCACCAGGGACCCCTTCCCCTGGTGCTACAGGATATGAAAACACCGTGCCAAGGCAGCTGTTTCCTCCATCTGGTAGGTGCTTGGCAGCCCCTTTTGCAAGATGAGGCAGGTGACCTTAGGAAAGTGGCCTTGGCCCACACCCAACCTGAAGGTCACGGGGACCAACATTCATAGGGTGCAGAGGAGATGTCATTATTATCCCTGATTCACAGAGGGAAATGGAGACACAGGTCACATAGCTTGGGACAGGCTGAAACCTGATGGGTAAGTTCAAGCCAGAACCCCTGCTCCACTGCCTTTAGCAAGAACCCAGCACCCTCCCAGGAGAGACTGGGCTGGGTCCAGGTGTTGAGATCAAATGCAAAGCCCCTTGTCTCTCAGTCTGTCAGTCAGGCCCCTGTGACCCCTTGGTGCCACAGAGCACGAGCCCCTCTCAGTGGCCTGGCAGTCAGGTTCCTGAGCCCTCGAGGTGCAGGTGGTGCAGGCCTGTGGCTCCTCTGTCCCTGCAGGGGAAAGGAGAGATCATGTCCCCAAACTAAGACCACCGGGGAGAACAGTCGGGAAAGTGTGATGCAGGCTCTCAGGAAAGAAGCCTGCATCCCGGCGCTGCACCACAGGGAAGGTCTCTGTGAGCTGCACTGGGCCCAGGAGGCAGCCCTACCCGCCCAGGGTTTCTGCTCCACACCAGGCCTCACCTGTGTCCCCCAGTGGGGGACCTGGAATGGGACATCGGCATTCCAAGGAGCCTTGTGAGCCAGATCTAGAGAGGAAGGAGAGAAGGACCCAGGGCCTGGCGAATCGCTGCAGGGTTTACTTCCCAGGAGGGAGGGCTGTAGCCCCCCCCCCCCCCCGCAGTGCCTCTTGGAGACATCAGGAGCCTTATACCCCACCCCAGGCCCACACTGCTCCAGGATGTTTGCCATCTGCCAACATGGACAGCAGTTGGCCACCACCGCTCTGGCTTTGCCCCTGTGCTCAGATGAGGACCTTGCTATGTCCTTGAAGAATATGCTTGAACATCCAGCAGCCAACCTGGTCACCCCTCCTTAACACCCACAGTACACAGTTTCCCTGCTGCTGGCCAGGGCCTGAGGGACCCAGTCGAGCATGCCCCAGTGGAAATGCACACACATCTGCCAGCAGGCCATTCTAAAGGTGAAACACACTGGTCACCTGCCTAATGGCCACCACCCCAAAGGCAACAAACTACCTCTGTGAAATAGCTGGCTTCCTCTCCACACTTCTGTCCTCTGACCTGCAGACAGTTACAAACCGACACTACAGCTGCACACAGGGACATTGGGCAGTTGGTTTAGCAGCAGAGCACACAGCCAGGCCCGGGGCAGCTGCTCCTCCACCATCAGGGATCGCTGTGGGCCCGCTCAGACTGGGACAATGGGCAGCTGCCAGCTCTTGGTGACAGACGGCTCATCCTGACCAGACACCCACCTCTGCCCACATGATCACTGTCATGCCATTCTTCCAGCGGTCCTAACTCAGATGGCTCCAGAGGGGACACCTGCCCTGGGCTGCCCACCAACCACCCTTTGCTCTTGAGCCCCAGGCATTCAGATGAAGCAAAGCACCCAGAATGAAGCACGCAGCTCTGGGGTTGCCTAGTTCCAGTCACAGTGTTGGGCTTCATATTAAGCTACATCCCCATCCACTCTATACCCTTTAAACAACTTTTTTGAGACAAGTTCTCACTAGGTTTCCAGGCTGGGCTTGAACTTGCAGTCTCTCTTGCCTCAGCCTCCCAGAGTGCTGGGATTACAGGTGACATCACCAATTGCCCATCCACCCTAAACATGACCCCAAAACTGGGGTACCTCACCAGCTGGCTGAGAATGGGGCACGCAGGGTCTCTTCCAGGGGCAGATGGGGGGCCGGAAGATGGGCAGGGGCTGGAGCAGCAGGAGGGAGGCAAACCCTTCCTATCTCAGTCCCGGACCCCAAGCTATTAGCAAGGATGTGTTAATGAAAGTTCACACCCAGGCGCTAATACGCTGGCGCTGTGCTGGAGGAGAGGCCCTCTCAGGGAAGGGGCAGCCGATGAGCCCCACTTATCTGTGAAAAGACTTGCTAATAACTTTAATTCCCCATCCTGAGCCACTGGGCCTTTGCTATGCAAATAGACTTTGTAAACAAGGTCAACTTCAGGGGGGTGGAAGACTTCAGACAACCCCAGTTACCGTTTTAGGAGGGGAGTGCCGGGTGGGGGCAGAGGTGGAGAAAAGGGGAGGTGTGAGCACCCCCCCCCAATCCCTGCAGAGCTTTGGGTCCCACTCTGAAGCTAAAAGCCATAGAAATGTACTCGGCTCAGGCCTGGCCCCGCCCCTCTCTGCATCACTGCTCCTCCTGGCTGGCCTGAGCCCTGCAAAAGCTCTCTGAAGCGGATTAAAAACAAAAACAAAGGTGCATGTCTTGTAACGCCAATACTTGGGAGGCTGAGGCAGGAGATCAGGATCACTGTGGGTTTTGAGCCCTGGGCTGAGCTACATAGTGAGTTCAAGGCTCGCCTGGGTTACACAAGACTGTCTCAAAAAACAAAAGCAAAACCACAATCTTCCACTATCCATGATCCACATAAAACTGCGGTGGGAAGTGCGTAACAATGTCATACAACAAAAAGGAATGGCGAATGATACACAGGAGGCACGGGCGAGACTTACAATGCTCAGAAAAAAGCCAGATGCGAAAGGCCACTCTGTGTGATTCTGAACGTGAAATGTTTGGGACAGGCAAATCCAAAGACAGAACAGTGGAGGACTGGGTGCTGAGGTGGGGGCAGAACGGGAGTATTGGGGACTATGGGCAGGGTTTCTTTTCAGAGGTGATGCAAAGGTTCTACAACTGGGTGGTGATTGGGAAATCCCACCCTGCCGCTGAGCCAGGCTGCTCTGGCTCCAGCCTCCCTCTGCCCAGGGCTTCGTGATCCAATACCACCAGTAGGCGCAGGGATTCAGCAACCCCAGTGAGGCTGGGTGCTGCGACCCCACTGGTCCTTTGAGGCCCTAAATTACAGAAACGCACAAGGCCAAGCTCAGGGCACTGCAGCCCAAAGGGAATCAGAACCCGGGGCGACCTCTTGGATGTGGCGCCCACTTGGGCCCCATAATGAACCGAGCTGGCTAAACGGCGGAGAGCTCCGATTCCCAAGCCCTAGCTGGGTTTGAGTGCAGCCTGATTCTGTAAAATGCATATCCAGTTCCCCACCAGGTTCAAAGCAAAGAGGAACAGGCCCTCGCTGACACTTTCTCTCAGGAATCCCCAAGCCACCCCTTCCAGGGTGCCCCATGCAGAAAGGAGCAGGCCAGGAGGAAGAAGGCCATGCGCTTGGGGACTGATGTTGACAACCTCTCCCCAGGCTCATATGTTGTTCTCAGGAGCTTGCTGTCCACGTTGAGGAAGAACTGCCCAGGGACACCAGTACAAGTAATTAATTCACAAATAAATCAATACACACGGCAGCGCAGGGCCTCCTAACAGCTTCAGAGTCCAGCCCACAGCACCTTCTTCCAGGGAAGGCACCTCCTTGGGAAAGGCCGATCTGGGTGAGGCCTGCGCCAGGGGCGCCGGTGCCTTCTGGCAGCAAAGCGTCGGAAAAGCCTTGGTTCTCAGATGGGGCGCCAGCCACCCGCTGTCACCTGGGCTCCTCGGCCAGCCGGCAACTAGTTCAGGGGGGTAAGCCAGGTGTTGAGCAGAGCCAGCAGGCGGCCGGGAAAGAGCTGCGCGGGCAGAGAGGAGCGCGCGATTTGTGAGACCCAGGCCGCGTCCCTGTGCCCTGCGCGGGCAGGAGGGGGCGCCACCCCGACAGCGGACGCGAGCTGCACGGGCAGGAGCCACTGACCATTAACGCGGGGCCCCCAGGACGCCCTGCTGGGGTCGGGACACAGCCTCGCGGGGACGTCGCCAAGGCCCAGCACGGCCGATAGACGGCCGATGTAGCGGGTCCCGGGCGCAGCGTCTGGGTGTTCGTGAGGCTGCAGCCGGCGGCCGCCGCGGACCACCGGCGGGCAGCGGCGCAGCTCGAGCAGGGCGCGGGCGAGCGTGCGCATGCGCAGCTTCTCGCGCTCGCTGGCGCTGCGCCGCGGTCCCCCCGCGGGTCCGCACCTCGGGGGATGGCGCCCCCGGGCGGCGGGGCAGGTCGCAGTCTCCTCGAAGCGCGGCGGCCACCGAGCTGCATCCCAGCCCCAGGTAGGACAGGGAGT